CACAGTGATGGTGTGGCCAGCATGACACACACACAGTGATAGTGTGGCCAGCATGACACACACACAGTGATAGTGTGGCCAGCATGACACACACAGTGATGGTGTGGCCAGCATGACACACACACACAGTGATGGTGTGGCCAGCATGACACACACACACAGTGATGGTGTGGCCAGCATGACACACACACACAGTGATGGTGTGGCCAGCATGACACACACACAGTGATAGTGTGGCCAGCATGACACACACACAGTGATAGTGTGGCCAGCATGACACACACACAGTGATGGTATGGCCAGCATGACACACACACAGTGATAGTGTGGCCAGCATGACACACACACAGTGATAGTGTGGCCAGCATGACACAAACACACAGTGATGGTGTGGCCAGCATGACACACACACAGTGATAGTGTGGCCAGCATGACACACACACAGTGATGGTGTGGCCAGCATGACACAAACACAGAGATATTGTGGCCAGCATGACACACACACACAGTGATGGTGTGGCCAGCATGACACACACACAGTGATGGTGTGGCCAGCATGACACACACACAATGATGGTGTGGCCAGCATGACACACACACAGTGATAGTGTGGCCAGCATGACACACACACACAATGATGGTGTGGCCAGCATGACACACACACGCACAGTGATGGTGTGGCCAGCATGACACACACACAATGATGGTGTGGCCAGCATGACACATACACAGTGATGGTGTGGCCAGCATGACACACACACAGTGATAGTGTGGCCAGCATGACACACACAATGATAGTGTGGCCAGCATGACACACACACAGTGATAGTGTGGCCAGCATGACACATACACAGTGATAGTGTGGCCAGCATGACACACACACACACACACAGTGATAGTGTGGCCAGCATGACACACACACACACACAGTGATAGTGTGGCCAACATGACACACACACAGTGATGGTGTGGCCAGCATGACACACACACAGTGATAGTGTGGCCAGCATGACACACACAGTGATAGTGTGGCCAGCATGACACACACACAGTGATAGTGTGGCCATCATGACACACACAGTGATGGTGTGGCCAGCATGACACACACACAGTGATAGTGTGGCCAGCATGACACACACAGTGATAGTGTGGCCATCATGACACACACAGTGATAATGTGGCCAGCATGACACACACACACACACAGTGATAGTGTGGCCAGCATGACACACACAGTGATAGTGTGGCCAGCATGACACACACAGGGATAGTGTGGCCAGCATGACACACACAGTAATAGTGTGGCCAGCATGACACACTCAGGGATAGTGTGGCCAGCATGACACACACACACAGTGATAGTGTGACCAGCATGACACACACAGGGATAGTGTGGCCAGCATGACACACACAGGGATAGTGTGGCCAGCATGACACACACACAGTGATAGTGTGGCCAGCATGACACACACAGGGATAGTGTGGCCAGCATGACACACACAGTAATAGTGTGGCCAGCATGATACACTCAGGGATAGTGTGGCCAGCATGACACACACACACAGTGATAGTGTGACCAGCATGACACACACAGGGATAGTGTGGTCAGCATGACACACACAGGGATAGTGTGGCCAGCATGACACACACACAGTGATAGTGTGGCCAGCATGACACACACTCAGGGATAGTGTGGCCAGCATGACACACTCAGGGATAGTGTGGCCAGCATGACACACACAGTGATAATGTGGCCAGCATGACACACACAGTGATAGTGTGGCCAGCATGACACACTCAGGGATAGTGTGGCCAGCATGACACACACGGGGATAGTGTGGCCAGCATGACACACTCGGGGATAGTGTGGCCAGCATGACACACACAGGGATAGTGTGGCCAGCATGACACACATAGGGATAGTGTGGCCAGCATGACACACTCAGTGATAGTGTGGCCAGCATGACACACTCAGTGATAGTGTGGCCAGCATGACACACTCAGGGATAGTGTGGCCAGCATGACACACACAGGGATAGTGTGACCAGCATGACACACACAGTGATAGTGTGGCCAGCATGACACACTCAGGGATAGTGTGGCCAGCATGACACACTCAGGGATAGTGTGGCCAGCATGACACACTCAGGGATAGTGTGGCCAGCATGACACACACAGGGATAGTGTGACCAGCATGACACACACAGTGATAGTGTGGCCAGCATGACACACTCAGGGATAGTGTGGCCAGCATGACACACTCAGGGATAGTGTGGCCAGCATGACACACTCAGGGATAGTGTGGCCAGCATGACACATACTGGGATAGTGTGGCCAGCATGACACACACAGGGATAGTGTGACCAACATGACACATACAGGGATAGTGTGGCCAGCATGACACACACAGGGATAGTGTGACCAGCATGACACACACAGTGATAGTGTGGCCAGCATGACACACTCAGGGATAGTGTGGCCAGCACACTCTGGAGCGATAAGACTGTACTGGCTAGCCACGTCCTCTGTCTTAACACTCCGCTAATCTCTTGCTTAACTCTCCACTAGCAAGGAGTTGGTTTCCTTCCTACCCAAAGGTTACGGCTTCCTGTCCCCGCTCCGCTCGCAAACGTTTGTGCAGCGTTTCTCTTCATCTGATGCCTCGGTTCACCTTACGTTTGTTTAACTCCCTAGAATGCCCGTGCTGCCAGGTGAGCAGAGGCATCTGGTGAATGAAACTATGTTCGTTTGTTTTGCCTCGGCCTGGAATCGAACCCGGGCCTTTGGTGCCCTAAGCTACAGCTGTGGTACCCCGTTGGTGCCCTACCTTGAGGTGTTTTCGGGGCTTAGCGTCCCCGCGGCCCGGTCGTCGACCAGGCCTCCTGGGTGCTGGACTGGTCAACCAGGCTGTTGGACGCGGCTGCGAGCAGCCTGACGTATGAGTCACAGCCTGGTTGATCAGATATCCTTTGGAGATGTTTATCAAGTTCTCTCTTGAACACTGTGAGGGGTCGGCCAGTTATGTCCCTTATGTGTAGTGGAAGCGTGTTGAACAGTCTCGGGCCTCTGATGTTGATAGTTCTCTCTTGAACACTGTGAGGGGTCGGCCAGTTATGTCCCTTATGTGTAGTGGAAGCGTGTTGAACAGTCTCGGGCCTCTGATGTTGATAGTTCTCTCTTGAACACTGTGAGGGGTCGGCCAGTTATGTCCCTTATGTGTAGTGGAAGCGTGTTGAACAGTCTCGGGCCTCTGATGTTGATAGAGTTCTCTCTCAGAGTACCTGTTGCACCTCTGCTTTTCAACGGGGGTATTCTGCACATCCTGCTATGTCTCCTGGTCTCATGTGGTGTTATTTCTGTGTGCAGGTTTGGGTCCAGCCCCTCTAATATTTTCCACGTGTAAATTATTATGTATCTCTCCCGCCTGCGCTCAAGGGAATACAGATTTAGGCTCTTTAGTCGGTCCCAATAATTTAGATGTTTTACTGAGTGGATTCTAGCAGTAAAGGATCTCTGCACGCTCTCCAGGTCAGCAATTTCTCCAGCTTTGAAAGGTGCTGTCATTGTGCAGCAGTACTCCACTCTAGAGAGCACAAGCGTTTTGAAGAGTATCATCATCGGTATAGCATCTCTGGTGTGAAAAGTTCTTGTTATCCAACCTGTCATTTTTCTTGCAGTTGTGACGGCTACTTTATTGTGTTCTTTAAAGGTAAGGTCTTCCGACATGAGTACACCCAGATCCTTTACATTGCCTTTTCGTTCTATGTTATGATTTGCCTGAGTTTTGTACGTGGTTTCCGTTTTTATATTTTGATTTTTTCCATAGCGCATGAGCTGGAACTTATCCTCGTTAAACACCATATTATTTTCTGTAGCCCATAGAAAGACCTGATCTACATCTGATTGGAGGTTTGCCGTGTCCTCTATGTTGCCAACTCTCATGAAGATCCTAGTGTCATCTGCAAAGGATGATACAGTGCTATAGGTTGTGTTCTTGTCTATGTCCGATATGAGGATGAGAAAAAGTACTGGAGCAAGCACAGTACCCTGGGGGACTGAGCTCTTCACGGTTGATGGGATGGATTTGATTTTGTTGACTAAGCTACAGCTGTGGTACGGGTGCTCAGTGGTGCCCCAGATGGTGCCCTAAGCTACAGCTGTGGTACGGGTACTCAGTGGTGCCCCAGATGGTGCCCTAAGCTACAGCTGTGGTACGGGTGCTCAGTGGTGCCCCAGATGGTGCCCTAAGCTACAGCTGTGGTACGGGTACTCAGTGGTGCCCCAGATGGTGCCCTAAGCTCCAGCTGTGGTACGGGTGCTCAGTGGTGCCCCAGATGGTGCCCTAAGCTACAGCTGTGGTACGGGTACTCAGTGGTGCCCCAGATGGTGCCCTAAGCTACAGCTGTGGTACGGGTGCTCAGTGGTGCCCCAGATGGTGCCCTAAGCTACAGCTGTGGTACGGGTACTCAGTGGTGCCCCAGATGGTGCCCTAAGCTACAGCTGTGGTACGGGTGCTCAGTGGTACCCCAGATGGTGCCCTAAGCTACAGCTGTGGTACGGGTGCTCAGTGGTGCCCCAGATGGTGCCCTAAGCTACAGCTGTGGTACGGGTACTCAGTGGTGCCCCAGATGGTGCCCTAAGCTACAGCTGTGGTACGGGTACTCAGTGGTGCCCCAGATGGTGCCCTAAGCTACAGCTGTGGTACGGGTACTCAGTGGTGCCCCAGATGGTGCCCTAAGCTACAGCTGTGGTACGGGTACTCAGTGGTGCCCCAGATGGTGCCCTAAGCTACAGCTGTGGTACGGGTACTCAGTGGTGCCCCAGATGGTGCCCTAAGCTACAGCTGTGGTACGGGTGCTCAGTGGTGCCCCAGATGGTGGCCATAGGTAGTACCCTGAGCAGCTAATGGTTGCCCTCGAGGGAGAGTGTAGTGGAGAGTGTGGTGGCCGCCAAGAGACGACACAGAGACGCTGGCGCCGGATACAAGAGCCATGGTGAGCCGTGTAGGAAAGATAGTGTGTATCCGGACGTGGTGGAGGGTGGATGTTGCTGCTCCTCCAGGCTGTCATGGTCGTCCCCTGTGTTCTCACTCCTCGTACACGCCTCCGTATAACGCTACGGGTGTTGAGCCCACGGGAACCTTGTTACAGCGGCCTGGCTGGGGACGTGGATACAGCGACCGAGTAGTGTACATCGCGGGACTGTTTTACTTGGCGGTCTTTGGGGGCAAGAGGACCAAATGGCCGGGGTCATTAGGGTGATGTTGGCTACAGTGATTGTCGCCTCCACCGTCCACTCCCAGGACTGGTCTGATGGTATGTTGTGGTATATCTCTCACGTCTCCTGGTATGTTGACACTCTATCTTCTCTCACCCAGAGTATGTCGTGGTATATCTCTCACGTCTCCTGGTATGTTGACACTCTACCTTCTCTTACCCAGAGTATGTCGTGGTATATCTCTCACGTCTCCTGGTATGTTGACACTACCTTCTCTCACCCAGAGTATGTTGTGGTATATCTCTCACTTCTCCTGGTATGTTGACACTCTATCTTCTCTCACCCAGAGTATGTTGTGGTATATCTCTCTCGTCTCCTGGTATGTTGACACTACCTTCTCTCACCCAGAGTATGTTGTGGTATATCTCTCACGTCTCCTGGTGCTCCGGGGTGATCCTAGCAGCATGTGATCATTTATTTTCTATTTTATAATTTACTTCAATATTGTATTATGATTCTAAGTGGACTGTATTATAAATTCAGGCGGCCAGTTTCACCTGCACATAGTTGAGAGCAAATGACTACAGGTTATCCCATAATTGGTGATAACTAAGTTATCACCAATAAATAAGTTATCAAAGCTAGATCTTGTATGGGAGCGCCACAGGTTATAGGTGGTCAGCTCACTAACTTCTCGCCCTTGAACCTGTCAATACATTACGGAGAAATAAATTGCATTCATAAGTGTGTTATTAGGAAGGAATCTTTATGGTATTAGTCAACCCCGGCTGACCCGTGCTGGGTGGTGCTGGCATATCATACCCGACAACCCATGCACACAATTTATTCCTCCAAGGAGTGCCGGACCAACCGGGCTGTGGTGGGTATGTGGGCCTGCGGGCCGCTCCAAGCAACAGCCTGGTGGACCAAACTCTCACAAGTCAAGCCTGGCCTCGGGCCGGGCTTGGGGAGTAGAAGAACTCCCAGAACCCCATCAACCAGGCCATCAATCAGGCCATCAACCAGGTAATTTGTAATGGTCACTACAGTCATATACACAATATGTTTCATCGGCTACAATACTTCCCATGGTTGATGTAGGGGTCGCTGTGGCTGGATCACTATTGGCTGGTCTAATTTCAGACCTCTACAGTGTGTGAACCTCACAGAGAGAGGTTAGTTCATTTATTATGCCCCCCATACCCATGTTGTGGGCGGTAGTGGAAAGGGTTACAGAGGCACATAATGGGCTCAGGGACTGAACCCCACAATTCATTTAGCTAAGCAAGTTACAATCTTGATGAGCTAGTTACAAAATTCAATATAAGTCGTCACATCAACAATGGGTTCGAGATCGACCTCAAGTACAGGTTCTAAATTAAGCAACTGACATATGTGGAGAGCTAGTGTCACAATTGATATGTTTGTCCTGCACACCGCCCCCCATCCAGTGGGCAGCGGTGGATAGGTTACACCGCCCCCCATCCAGTGGGCAGCGGTGGATAGGTTACACCGCCCCCCATCCAGTGGGCAGCGGTGGATAGGTTACACCGCCCCCCATCCAGTGGGCAGCGGTGGATAGATTACACCGCCCCCCATCCAGTGGGCAGCGGTGGATAGGTTACACCGCCCCCATCCAGTGGGCAGCGGTGGATAGGTTACACCCCCCCCCCCCCCATCCAGTGGGCAGCGGTGGATAGGTTACAGTCACTCAGTTACTACCTACAGTTAGCAAACTGGGGATATTTGGCTAAAATTTCTGGTAGCAGATCATTTTGAATGAAATATTTACACATCGCTGGAACATTGGTTATAGAATTGTCTCTAAATTCACGTATCTTTTCGCACTCCATCACATAGTGACGGAGGGTGTGCGAATAATTTTGTTGACACAATTTACATTTGGTCAGGTCTACATCAGCAGATAATGAGAATTCCCAGAGATACTTGTAACCGAGTCTAAGCCGAGCTGTAGTAACATCTAGAAGTCTGCTGATTTTATTGGATGAACCATAGATGTGTGGCTCCTCTTGCATGATAGTATGATGATAGATGGAATTACTGGTGTCAATTTCACTTTGCCTCAGATCTACAAGATCTTGTTGAAGTTCTCGGTGTACTGCTGCTCTCAGATTGCTCATTGACAATCCAAGGTTACACTCAACGGGTCCTTTAAAGGCAGATTCTTTGGTTTGTCTAATGTCTTGTTTACATTTGTCTCTTGTCTCTGTGTGGTTTGATTCTCTGCCGAGAGCATGACTAACTTCCTCCCCCACAGGCGCCCCCCCCCCTCTCTCTCTCTCTCTCTCTCTCTCTCTCTCTCTCTCTCTCTCTCTCTCTCTCTCTCTCTCTCTCTCTCTCTCTCTCTCTCTCTCTCTCTCTCTCTCTCTCTCTCTCTCTCTCTCTCTCTCTCTCGTTCCAATACTATTTTTCCCCAATATTCTATCTTAGGGATTAAGGGAGCTAAACTATACTTTATAGTATCTTTAATTAAGTCCAGTCCTAGTGAATACTTATGTATTAAGTTTCTGTTAAGGGTTAACTTTACAAAATTACTACATTATTATTTTTTTTTTTTTTTGAGATATATACAAGAGTTGTTACATTCTTGTACAGCCACTAGTACGCGTAGCGTTTCGGGCAAGTCCTTAATCATATAGTCCCTGGAATACCATCCCCTGCCGCGAAGAATCGTTGTTACAACCAAGTACACATTTTACTGTTGCGTTAAACAGAGGCTACAGTTAAGGAATTGCGCCCAGTAAATCCTCCCCGGCCAGGATACGAACCCATGACATAGCGCTCGCGGAACGCCAGGCGAGTGTCTTACCACTACACCACGGAGACTGCTGTGAGACATCGATGAGCCTTACTGTGGTAACATGTTATGTGTCGGATTTCCCACACTTGTGTGTTGACACTCTATCTTTTCTCACCCAGAGTATGTTGTGGTATATCTCTCTCTCGTCTCCTGGTATGTTGATACTCTATCTTCTCTCACCCAGAGTATGTTGTGGTATATCTCTCTCTCGTCTCCTGGTATGTTAACACTCTATCTTCTCTCACCCAGAGTATGTTGTGGTATATCTCTCTCTCTCTCGTCTCCTGGTATGTTAACACTCTATCTTCTCTCACCCAGAGTATGTTGTGGTATATCTCTCTCTCTCTCGTCTCCTGGTATGTTAACACTCTATCTTCTCTCACCCAGAGTATGTTGTGGTATATCTCTCTCTCTCGTCTCCTGGTATGTTAACACTCTATCTTCTCTCACCCAGAGTATGTTGTGGTATATCTCTCTCTCTCGTCTCCTGGTATGTTAACACTCTACCTTCTCTCACTCGCCCTCTACCTTCTCTCACTCGCCCTCTACCTTCTCTCTCTCGCCATCTACCTTCTCTCACTGGCCCTCTACCTTCTTTCACTCGCCTCTCTAACTTCTCTCACTCTTCCTCTACCTCTCCTCTCACTACTACTACATGGAAAGTTACTTACGTTCATTTACCTGAGAGCCATTGACACTCTAGTGGCCACGATGGAGACAGGAAGCCAGCGGCTTGTCAAGAGGTCCTCCCAGGCACCAATTGGCCAAATAATTTTGCGAAGCTCAATGTTGAAGTTCCCCTGATGGTACTGGTACATTCATAGACAACTGGGAACACTTCTATGGAAGAAGTGAAATGTATGCTCGTGATGGGGTGCATCTATCGAGAGCTGGGGTTGTTGCTGTTGCGAACTCGTTGGAAGAAGTGGTTAGAGGTGTTTGTTTGGGTTTAAACTGTTAGTAGATAGTGGTATGGGAATTGATAGGGAGGAAGGAAGTAATAAAAGTATGTGTTCGTGGGAGAAACAACTTGGCAAAATGATCAGGGAAAGAGAAGGGCCTCAAAATAACAATTCACTTTGGATATATTACACTAACAGTAGAAGTCTAAGAAACAAAATAAACGAGTTAAATGCTCTTGTCTGCACAGAAAAAATAGATATTATTGCACTTACCGAAACGTGGATGTAGAAAATAGAGAACTATTAGCTGAATATCAAATAAATGGATTTAAACTATTTCACACAGATAGATATATTAGACGAGGAGGGGGAGTAGCCATATAAGTTAGGGACAATTTGAAATGTAGTCTCAAAGAGGGAATCAAAACTGAGCCACACACAGAAACTATTTGGCAAGAATTAAACGAAAAAGCAAATAATCTTATAATAGGAGTTATATATAGACCACCAAATTTAGACAGAATGGAAGCAAAGCATCTATGGGATGAAATATCTAGAGTATCTACATCTAACAGTATTTATGTCATGGGTGACTTTAATTTTAGTGGAATAAACTGGTTGAACAAAACAGGGAATAATGAAGCAGAAGATTTTCTAGAATTAATTGACGATTGCTTTCTTACGCAACACATTAAGGAACCAACACGGGAAAATAATATTTTAGATTTAGTGTTAACTAACAGGGAAACACAAATTAATGACATCGAAATAGGGAGTGAGCTAGGGAACAGTGATCATAAAGAAATCAGATTTAGCATAGAATGGAATAGACCAGTAGGAGAAAATTCTGTTAAACTGCCAGATTTTCGAAAAGCTGATTTTATTAGCCTAAGAAATTTTTTGAGTCAAATAAATTGGAAAGTCTTGGGTATAGAGGTGGGCGAGACATGAACCCACCGATAGGTGATGTAAAAAAAGATTTCGATGTGGATTCAAAATATAACTTATTTAAAAATATTCTAAGCAAGGCACAGGAACGTAGTATACCATACAAATTGAATAGATCGAATTCTGATGACCCGAAATGGATAACAAAGGATTTGAAGAACCTTATAGGTAGAAAGAGAGTTTGGTACAAAAGGATTAAGAATGGGGAAGTCAGTTTAGAACAGGAATTCGTACAACTGGTTAGAAATGTTAAAAAGAGATAAGGAGAGCAAAAAGAAACTATGAAGTTCGCATAGCAGGGCAAGCAAAGGCAAATCCTAAAGGTTTTTTTCAGTTATATCGAACAAAGATTAGGGAAAGGATTGGTCCATTAAAAACTGAGACAGGTCAAATAACGGATAATGATGAAGAGATGAGTAGTATTTTTAATAAATAATTTATCTCTGTATTTACTAAAGAGGAACTTAACAATATGCCTTCAGCCGAACAAGTCTATGTGGGTGGGGACGAGGACAGGTTGACTAGTTTAGCAGTTACCAGGGAGGATGTAATTAAACAAATAGTAGAACTAAAACCAAACAAATCCCCAGGGCCGGATGAAGTGTTTGCCAGGGTGCTTAAAGAATGCAAAGAGGAGCTTTGCGAGCCGTTGTTTTCCATATTTAATAAATCAATAGAGTCAGGCAGAGTGCCAGAGTTATGGAAGGTAGCTAATGTGGCACCAATTTTTAAGAAAGGAGATAGATCACTTGCGTCAAACTATCGGCCAATTAGCCTAACGTCTATTGTGGGAAAGTTACTCGAATCGATAACTGCAAATACAATTCGTCTTCATCTTGAAAAGCATAAATTAATAAATGATTCACAACATGGTTTTATAAATGGCCGTTCATGTTTAACAAATTTGCTATCATTTTATTCCAGCATAGTTGAGGCAGTTGATAGTGGTAAGGATTGTGATGTTGTGTACCTTGACTTTAGCAAAGCTTTTGATAAAGTGCCACATGAAAGACTGACTAAAAAGATAGAGGCTCATGGTATTGGGGGTGCTATATTAACTTGGATTAGGGCATGGCTGTACCTAAGGAAACAGAGAGTTAGTATAAATGGAGTTATGTCAGAGTGGGATAATGTTGTTAGTGGAGTGCCTCAGGGCTCTGTCCTGGGACCTCTGTTGTTTATAATATATATAAATGATTTAGATTCAGGTTTGAGTAGCAGCATTTGAAAATTTTCCGATGATACAAAAATCAGGAGGGAAATAAACATGGAAAAAGACTCGCTATCACTTCAAGTTGATCTAAATAGGGTTTTGAAATGGTCAAAAGATTGGCAGATGCAGTTTAATGTTGATAAATGTAAAGTTTTGAGGCTAGGTAATGATGATAGAGTTACAAGATACTAGCTAGATGGTGTTGAGATTGCGATGTCGGATTGCGAAAGGGATCTGGAAGTTATGATTAGTAAGAATTTAAAACAAAAGGATCAATGCATGAATGTTCGTAATAAGGCAAATAGGATACTGGGATTTATTAATCGAAGCGTTAGTAACAAGACACCTGGTGTGGTTCTTAAGCTATATCTTGCTCTGGTTAGGCCCCATTTAGATTATGCAGTTCAGTTTTGGTCGCCTTACTGCAGAATGGATATAAATTCACTTGAACGTGTCCAGCGTAGGATGACAAAGTTAATTCCCAAATTTAGAAACCTGTCATATAAAGAGAGATTAACAAAGCTTAAATTGCATTCACTGGAAAAGCGAAGAGTTAGGGGTGACATGATAGAGGTTTACAAGTGGATGAATGGACATAACAAAGCGGGATATTATTAGGGTACGGTGTCACACCTTGTGTTAGTGGTGGTGGTGTCACACCCTGGTCTTGTGCTAGTGTTGATGGTGTCACACCCTGGTCTTGTGCTAGTGTTGATGGTGTCACACCCTGGTCTTGTGCTAGTGTTGATGGTGTCACACCCTGGTCTTGTGCTAGTGGTGATGGTGTCACACCCTGGTCTTGTGCTAGTGTTGATGGTGTCACACCCTGGTCTTGTGCTAGTGTTGATGGTGTCACACCCTGGTCTTGTGCTAGTGTTGATGGTGTCACACCCTGGTCTTGTGCTAGTGTTGATGGTGTCACACCCTGGTCTTGTGCTAGTGTTGATGGTGTCACACCCTGGTCTTGTGCTAGTGTTGATGGTGTCACACCCTGGTCTTGTGCTAGTGTTGATGGTGTCACACCCTGGTCTTGTGCTAGTGTTGGTGGTGTCACACCCTGGTCTTGTGCTAGTGTTGATGGTGTCACACCCTGGTCTTGTGCTAGTGTTGATGGTGTCACACCCTGGTCTTGTGCTAGTGTTGGTGGTGTCACACCCTGGTCTTGTGCTAGTGTTGATGGTGTCACACCCTGGTCTTGTGCTAGTGTTGATGGTGTCACACCCTGGTCTTGTGCTAGTGTTGGTGGTGTCACACCCTGGTCTTGTGCTAGTGTTGGTGGTGTCACACCCTGGTCTTGTGCTAGTGTTGATGGTGTCACACCCTGGTCTTGTGCTAGTGTTGGTGGTAACAGGGCAGACTGTATCTGTCACAATATAATTATCTCTATCCATGAACCAGCTTTATAGCTGGGACACCTTGTCTCTTGGAGATTTATTTCCATTCAACAGTCCGTACAACAGTGGAACATCATCATTGCCAAATGGAAATTCATCCCACCACGAGGACCGTGGCTTGGCGGATATTATGTAAGAATGGCGGGTGTTGTCAAAACATGTTTGAGGAAATCATTACCTAAGAAATTATCAACCTTTCTGAACTCCAGACGGTGGTCATTGAGGTCGAATCGTGAGTTAACAGCAGATCGTTAATTGATATGTCAAATGATTTTTCACAACATGTCCCATTAAACCAGCTCATCTTTTGTATGGTTGGCCTCTAGCTCCAGTAACCACTCTTGGAGATGAAGAGACCAGAGATCCTCGTACGTGAGTGATAGTGAATTTATTAAGGTTTATAAACACCTCTCTGACATTATCCTCAGTTGGAATAAAGCATGAACTGAAGAATACTTAACTTCCTTAAGAGAACATCATTATGGGGCCAACCTTCCCCTTACAACAGAATAAATCTACAACCTGGAGATGTTGTCTTGGTAGACAGTGATGAGCCTAGGTCTGACTGGCCATTAAGTAAAGTAGTATTCATCCACCCAGACAATCAGGTAATCTTGAGAACAGTGAATGTTCAGTCTAATGGAGTTACCTCCCTGAACACTCTAGAAAAATTAGTTCATGTGTCTGCGTTAAGCCGTGGGGGGGGGCGGCTTTACCTCAAACAAGTAAGTTATAGAACCTTTGCATTAATTTATTGTTGTGGTAATAAATTTAGAGTACAACTATTTGGAAATGTTGACAGTAAATGATATTTATGATTGTGGAAATGTTAGATCCTGAGGCTAGGCTATAGTCGGTCCTGGTTGTGTACTGGACACCTTCACGGCACCAAGATGAATCACTGTTTTCACAGTATTAATTTAATTGTTTATTTATATAACTAAACAATAATTAATGTGGAACTCCTCGGCAGATATCCAAGGACAGGGACTTGATAATGCAACCATTGATTATAGCCTCATATTGACTATTTTATAGCAACTAAACTCCATGAGAAAGTTTACATGCGAAAATCAGCTGTTTTTGCATTTCATTTGTTGACAATAGATTTCTAGAGTAATGATGGTAGTTGTTTTAAATTAATATTTTTTTATTCTGAAGTCGTCTCATATATTTATTTAAATTACATACTGTTTCAAGAACTAACTCAGGGAATTTAATTGAGTAAATATCATATAAGCCACAAGACCTTGTAGCCAGGCCTCTGAGCACGTAATTACCTAAGTGTAATTACCTAAGTGTAGTTACAGGATGAGAGCTACGCTCATGGTGTCCCGTCTTCCCAGCACTCTTTGTCGTATAACACTTTGAAACTACTGACGGTTTTGGCCTCCACCACCTTCTCACCTAACTTGTTCCAACCGTCTACCACTTTGTTTGAGAAGGAGATTGTCTTACCTAGTTGTGCTTCTGAGGGTTGAGCTCGAGCTCTTTGGTCCCACCGTGTGATTCATGTGATTCATTACAGGTTGTATAGTGTCACGTGTTCCGGATCAGCGTGTACGTGATCAGACCCTGGACGCATTGCCGGAGTTCCTGCCAAACAACACTGGGCAAAGTCCTATTCTGGCCAGTTGGAAACTGTGGCCAGGCTCGGGGAGCGAGTCGGAGGCCATGACCGCGTCCTGGGGCCTCGGCACCTTGTATGTCTCCTACAGAAAGTCCAAGAACTCCTCGGACTCTGTGAATGTAACAGAATCCCAAAGTCCAGCAGGGTTCTCTATGGAGAATGTTGTCATCATGAAGAATTGTACTCAAGGTAACTATCATTGTGTTGCTCATGCTAGCTCACTTGGTGCTATGATGAATGCGCAGTAATTTTAGGTTAGGTTGAACTGTACTTTATATAAATTGTATTGAATGTATATCTTGTTTGTGTCAGGCCAGTCCATATGGATGATGACGAACAATAACAAAGTGCGGAAGTTTGAGTTGGACGACTCTGCCACCTTCACCATTGTGATGACGGAGGAAGTCCCTCTCCATGTGACCTTCCACAACAGTTCCTTCACTCTTTGTTACAAGGGCCACCACCGAGAGCCGTGTAATAATGCTCGCAAGGGACTGGCGCCTTATGTTGCTATGAGGCTCCGGTTTACGCTCGCTGACACCGGCTATCAGGCAAGATGTGTATATGTGATATATATGGTCATTACATAATGGTAAAATGATATTAGTACTAGTATGTATTCACCTGGTTACATAATTGTCGTGGGATCACTGGATTGTTTCAGGCGAAGGTTAGACATGTATGGGAGTGAGTTTGGCTGGATATAAATAGCTGTCTCGTATGGACCAACAGGCCTTCTGCAGTTCCCCTTATTCCTACCTAAATTTACCTGAGGGGGGCACCATCTCTAGTGGCCTTAACAGGAAGCCAGCAACATGTCCTGAGGATTTGTCCACCTGAATTTCAAGTCCCTGTACTCATTAGTTTTCAGTGTCCCCCTGAAGGTGGCCGCCCCGCCTCCCTCAACTGTGCTGTAAGGTAGATAGGTGTCAGCCAATGTGGAAGCACAGGGGTAGTCCCACACGACCTGTTTACCTTCCCTCCATGGCTGCAGGGTGACTCCATCTGGGCGTTTTTGGCTGTTGTCAGGTCTGCACAACTGAGGTTCCCTTTGTGCTGGACACACACTTTGTGTTGTTCCTTGTTTGTGTTACATTGTGGCTTGTTGAGCTTGACACTGTTGTTCCTTGTTTGTGTTACATTGTGGCTTGTTGAGCTTGACACTGTTGTTCCTTGTTTGTGTTACATTGTGGCTTGTTGAGCTTGTCACTGTTGTTCCTTGTTTGTGTTACATTGTGGCTTGTTGAGCTTGTCACTGTTGTTCCTTGTTTGTGTTACATTGTGGCTTGTTGAGCTTGACACTGTTGTTCCTTGTTTGTGTTACATTGTGGCTTGTTGAGCTTGTCACTGTTGTTCCTTGTTTGTGTTACATTGTGGCTTGTTGAGCTTGTCACTGTTGTTCCTTGTTTGTGTTACATTGTGGCTTGTTGAGCTTGTCACTGTTGTTCCTTGTTTGTGTTACATTGTGGCTTGTTGAGCTTGACACTGTTGTTCCTTGTTTGTGTTACATTGTGGCTTGTTGAGCTTGTCACTGTTGTTCCTTGTTTGTGTTACATTGTGGCTTGTTGAGCTTGTCACTGTTGTTCCTTGTTTGTGTTACATTGTGGCTTGTTGAGCTTGTCACTGTTGTTCCTTGTTTGTGTTACATTGTGGCTTGTTGAGCTTGACACTGTTGTTCCTTGTTTGTGTTACATCTGACCTTTCGAACAAGATACCCGGGATCTATATATACCAAAATGTTCAGTATTTTAAAAGTTTCGATGAGATCAGCCCGGTCCTGTCTGGTTTGCATGAATCTATGTGATTCCTAATGGAATGATACTTCTGCCAGAGGTTGGGCTTGGTTGTTAAACATGTTTATACTATCATCCATTGGTTCCCGGTCCTTCTTAGGGGTTACTATTATAATGTGATGAGTGTCGACCTGTACTGTGCCTGGCTCGCTCAGTGACCTCTGTGTTGACCCGCAGGTCTTCACTAACGGGCAGGTCATAAGGAATGAGACATGGAACAACACTCTCTCCAAGACACTGACCGTCACTTTGTCAGTGGGAGGTACTATGAAGCCAACCTACCTCATCCGCCACCACCCGTCTCTCATCCGCCGACCCGTCCCCCAGGACCCACCAGGTACGTCACCCACCACCTGCCTGTCACCCACCACCTGCCTGTCACCCACCACCTGCCTCTCACCCACCACCTGCCTCTCACCCACCACCTGCCTCTCACCCACCACCCGCCCCCCAGGACCCACCAGGTACGTCACCCACCACCTGCCTCTCACCCACCACCTGCCTCTCACCCACCAACCCGTCCCCCAGGACCCACCAGGTACGTCACCCACCACCTGTCTCTCACCCACCACCTGCCTCTCATCCACCAACCCGCCCCCCATGACCCACCAGGTACGCCACCCACCACCTGCCTCTCACCCACCACCCGCCCCCCACCACCCACCACCTGCCCCCCATGACCCACCAGGTACGTCACCCACCACCTGCCTCTCACCCACCAACCCGCCCCCCAGGACCCACCAGGTACGTCACCCACCACCTGCCTCTCACCCACCAACCCGCCCCCCAGGACCCACCAGGTACGTCACCCACCACCTGCCTCTCACCCACCAACCCGCCCCCCAGGACCCACCAGGTACGTCACCCACCACCTACCCCCCATGATCCACCAGGTACGTCACCCACCACCTGCCCCCCATGACCCACCAGGTACGTCACCCATCACCTGCCTCTCACCCACCAACCCGCCCCCCATGACCCACCAGGTACGTCACCCACCACCTGCCTCTCACCCACCAACCCGCCCCCCAGGACCCACCAGGTACGTCACCCACCACCTGCCTCTCACCCACCACCCGCCCCCCACCACCCACCACCTGCCCCCCATGACCCACCAGGTACGTCACCCACCACCTGCCTCTCACCCACCACCCGCCCCCCACCACCCACCACCTGCCCCCCATGACCCACCAGGTACGTCACCCACCACCTGCCTCTCACCCACCAACCCGCCCCCCATGACCCACCAGGTACGTCACCCACCACCTGCCTCTCACCCACCAACCCGCCCCCCATGACCCACCAGGTACGTTACCCACCACCTGCCTCTCACCCACCACCCGCCCCCCACCACCCACCACCTGCCCCCCAGCACCCACCAGGTACGTCACCCACCACCTGCCTCTCACCCACCACCCGCCCCCCACCACCCACCACCTGCCCCCCACCACCCACCAGGTACGTCACCCACCACCTGCCTCTCACCCACCAACCCGCCCCCCAGCACCCACCACCTGCCCCCCACCACCCACCAGGTACGTCACCCACCACCTGCCCCCCAGCACCCCCCCCCCCTCCCCCACAGTCGTGGCGTTGTAACAACCAAATGTAGAGTTCAAAAAGTATAGTCGCGGACCTTATATATGCACAACAGTCCATATTTTGTCTATATAAGCTGAAGGTATTCTCATACTCTGGGGAAATGCCTCAGCAGGAAATAGGCTTACAGGTTTAAGAAGATTAGAGGAAATGTCAGAACTGATGAGAGATGTCTGACAGACCTCTTGATCACTATCTAACACGGTGCAGAGTTACAGACCAAACAGACCTCTTGATCACTATCTAACACGGTGCAGAGTTACAGACCAAACAGACCACTGGATCATTATCTAACACGGTGCAGAGTTACAGACCAAACAGACCACTGGATCATTATCTAACACGGTGCACAGTTACAGACCAAACAGACCACTGGATCATTATCTAACACGGTGCAGAGTTACAGACCAAACAGACCACTGGATCATTATCTAACACGGTGCAGAGTTACAGACCAAACAGACCACTGGATCATTATCTAACACGGTGCAGAGTTACAGACCAAACAGACCTCTTGATCACTATCTAACACGGTGCAGAGTTACAGACCAAACAGACCTCTTGATCACTATCTAACACGGTGCAGAGTTACAGACCAAACAGACCTCTTGATCACTATCTAACACGGTGCAGAGTTACAGACCAAACAGACCTCTTGATCACTATCTAAAACGGTGCAGAGTTACAGACCAAACAGACCACTGGATCATTATCTAACACGGTGCAGAGTTACAGACCAAACAGACCACTGGATCATTATCTAACACGGTGCAGAGTTACAGACCAAACAGACCACTGGATCACTATCTAACGAGCCCGTCCTCAAGTCATTAACACAAGACACCGAACCCATTCTTACACCACCTACTTGTTAATTAGCAAGTGAACCTTTGTCCTAAACAGAATTTTCTCAAGTTATAACTTTATTGTTGTATATATAGTTGGTTATAAATATAAAATAGTCTATGCTTAACTTGTTTTCTTTGAAACGATGTGAAGAATTTGGTTTTCTGTAAATAAAATTCGTTGAGGAACTCAAATAGTTTTCGAATTTAATTTTCACGTTTCAAAATAATACATCGTATTAATGTAACCTAACATAATGAAACCTAAATTTAACCTGATGTAACCTTAACGTAACCTGACCATGGGGGAATTCGGCGGCTGAGCGGACAGCACGCTGGGCACGTGATCGTGTGGTCCCGGGTTTGATCCCGGGCGCCAGCGAGAAACGCTGGGCAGAGTTTCTTTCACCCTATGCCCCTGTTACCTACCAGTAAATAGGTACCTGGGAGTTAGTCAGCTGTTACGGGCTGCTTCCTCGGTGTGTGTGTGTATTCACCTAGTTGTGTTTGCGGGGGTTGAGCTTTGCTCTTTCGGCTCGCCTCTCAACTGTCAATCAACTGTTTACTAACTACTTTTTTCTCTCTCCACACCACACACACACACACACACACCACACACCAGGAAGCAGCCCGTGACAGCTGATTAACTCCCAGGTATCTATTTACTGCTAGGTAACAGGGGCATTCAGGGTGAAAGAAACTTTGCCTATTTAATTATTTCTGCCAGTTGCGGGAATCGAACCCGTGCCACAGAATTACGAGTCCTGCGCGCTATCCACCAGGCTACCAGGTCCCACAGTGTGTGTCTGTGTGTGTGTGAGGAAAACAAATTAGTTAGTAGTTAGTAACAGTTGATTGATTGACAGTTGAGAGGCGGGCCGAAAGAGCAGAGCTCAACCCCCGCAAGCACAACTAGGTGAATACACGAGGCAGAGCTCAGGTGTGTACCACAAGCAATACACACACCTGCAAAATAATTCAAATTCAAAATTCAAAATTCAAACACCACTGCAGGTACAATATTGACGCAATCTTTGCAATAACTGGCATAATTATTGTCTTCTGTGGCTGCTGATGGCTGTCTGCAGTGGTGTCTGCTGCTGTGGTGACGCTGTCTGTGATTGTGGCAGTGCAGGCGATCATCCTGCTGTGTCTCCTGTGGCGCTACACTGATGTCTGTGTAAGTCATCCTCTCTCTGTTGTAGTCTGTGGCACGACACAGATGTCTGTGTAAGTCAGTCTGTATATGTCCACCCCGGCGTCTGTGTTCCCCTAGTCACCTGGTCGTTCACAGACATCTTCCTCCTGATGTGGTTAAGGTTAGTCCTTAGCGTTGGTGGCTATGTAGTTCTTGTAGTCCTCCTCCAATGGTCACCACATTTATGTACACTCCTTTCCTCTTCTTTAACGTATATTGTGACTCTCTTGTGTTGTATCTCTCATCCTTCCTTACTCCTCTGCTCCCCCTCTGTCTCCCTGTCCCCCACCCTCTCTCTCATCCCCCGTCACTGTAAACATTTCTCATGTACACTGTATCCATCACTGTAACCAGGCGGTGACCTCGGGATGCAACTCTATCATATAAACATACATTTTCAAAGTCAATTTGGGATGTCACTGAAATTTAAACTAATGCTAAAGTCTACGGACCCGGGGGGCAGACAATGCCCCTCCACAGGGGGGGCCCTGACGGCTGAATGGACTCGGGATTAGTAGTCCTAGGGTCCGGGGATCGATCCCCGGCGGAGGCGGAAACAAATGGGCAGAGTTTCTTTCATCTTGATGCCAATGTTTAACTAAAAGTAAATAGGTACCTGTGAGTTAGACAGCTTCTTCGGGCTGCTTCCTGGGAGTGTGTGTGTGTGTGTGTGTGTAAACGTGACTCATTATTGTTTAAATAAATGTACAAATTCAAGTGTATAACATTTCAGGCGTACCTGACGTGTAAGAGATCTGGCGTTGGAAGTTTGAGGATTGAGGGCAACAAGGTGTACCCAGAACACCCCCAACCCCCCATTACCAGCACCACCAGCAAGGTGGAGCCCCTCCCACTACCACCACCACGACCCGCCAACACACTCGCTGACCCACTACACAAAATAGCAGAAGAATCACATGGCGACTGCGAAGTCGACTATGTGACCCCGCAAGCCGTCAAACCTTTAGAGGTGGAAATTCTGAAGCAACAAAATGTAATCTTGGGTCAAATCTCCCACCAGACTTCGCCGTGGTCGACGCCCGCGTCACGCAAGAACTCTGACCAGGCTGCGCCGTGGTCGACACAGACGCACTCCCACAATCCAGCGTCACGGAAGAACTCTGAAGCCTCGCATCACACTATCTCGCGACAGCAGTCATTAGACACAACACATAATTACAACAGCAACTTTAACAACGAGGACGACGAACCCAACTACATGAACGTTAGGCTTGAGGACGGGGTGGTCCGCCTCCACCGCGAACCGTCTGACATCTACGACACTGTCGACACCACCTACGACCAGGTTCACGACACAAAGCCTCGTCATTCATCTGACATCTACGACACTGTCGACAACTATGATTACTACCACTCGGGTGACATGAAGTACTAGCAGGCACTTGCTAGCGTGCCAGACTCACTAGCTTTACTTGCTCTCCGTTAGACTAGGCTGCCTAGTTCAGGGCACTAAAATTACGCAGCCTAGTACAACCTCCGCACACTTCCAGAAATTTGTTTGTTATTGGGGTTCCAGTTTCAGGATAATAGCCTCAACTTAAACCACTTATCCCTGGATACAAAATGTTCTGTTCACCATGTAAATAGCGGAAACATTGACGAAGAGAACTGCTCAATAAGACATAAAATTTGGTGAATGTTGAGGCTGGTAAATGTGAAGAAAATTTATACCAGATATACTAAGAGAAATATTTCTCATGGTTGAGGGAAATAGTTGATCTGTAAATATGTAATGTAAACTTGAGACGAGTTAAGGTCAGATATATGTACTATTCTCACATAAATGTTGATCTGTATATGTAATGTAAACCTGGGAGGAGTTAAGGTCAGATATATGTACTATAGCGACATCAATGAGAAAATATCGAAGCGATGCGATGGGATTAAACTTTCGTCCCAGGCCTCCCCAGATACGTGTACTCCCCGCTGAACCATGACATGCTAATCGTATCCCAACCACAAGTATTTATTCTTCAGGGCCAGCATCTGTCTAGTGGCCATGACGGGGACGGGAAGCCGGCGGCTTATTAAAGATACCCCCAGTTTTCCTAAATAAAAATTCCAACTGGATTTTGAACTGCATTAAGGGCTCCGGCGGGTAGGCCGTTCCACGGGTTTATAACCCTGTGGGTTAAGAAACAACTGTTCTCAGTCCTACATTGTGGCTTGTTGAGCTTGACACTGTTGTTCCTTGTTTGTGTTACATTGTGGCTTGTCACTGTTGTTCCTTGTTTGTGTTACATTGTGGCTTGTTGAGCTTGTCACTGTTGTTCCTTGTTTGTGTTACATTGTGGCTTGTTGAGCTTGACACTGTTGTTCCTTGTTTGTGTTACATTGTGGCTTGTTGAGCTTGTCACTGTTGTTCCTTGTTTGTGTTACATTGTGGCTTGTTGAGCTTGACACTGTTGTTCCTTGTTTGTGTTACATTGTGGCTTGTTGAGCTTGACACTGTTGTTCCTTGTTTGTGTTACATTGTGGCTTGTGCTTGTCACTGTTGTTCCTTGTTTGTGTTACATTGTGGCTTGTTGAGCTTGACACTGTTGTTCCTTGTTTGTGTTACTTCTGACCTTTAGAAGTTGTTGTCTGGATTATATTTATCAATGAGATCTGCCATGCCTGGTTTACAGTGTTGGTAGTCCTGAGGTCCTCAACCGTTCCTGATACGAGAGATGACTTAGCTCTGGAATGATTTTTGTTGCCCGGTGTTGCACCTTCTCCAAGGCAGATAGTCTTTCTGAAGATGGGGTCTCCATGCTTGGATACAGTAGTCCAGATGTGGGTGGGACAGAGATTTATACAGTTAAATAACCACTTTCCTTTTCTTGAAGTCAAAGGTTCATTTGACTATGTCTAGGGTTTGGTTGGCTCTTCTGACTGCATCTTCCACTTCTTGTGCAACTTGCAATGACTGGTTCATTCTGATTCCAATGTTCTTTTTTTCTTCCGTCTGTTTATTGCATGGTAGTGTTGTTGATATGATAGTTGTGGTGGTCATTGTTATACCCCACATGCAAGAGCTTGCATATCCCAATGTTAAAAAAATTGCCAGTCTTCCTACCATTTGTTGAGTTCATGTAGATCTATCTAGCTCTCTTTGTAAAGCCACAGCTAATGGGTACACCCCCCTTACTTCCCCTTAGCAAAGTAATACGGGTACTTCCCCTTACCAAAGCAACCTGTCCTCCTACAAAGAACGTCGCTTTTCGATCGTAGGCGTTACATAAGGCAAAAAAATGTACTAGAAAATGGATCGGCTGGCGAAAGCGACGTACTGTCCAGGTTTTCTGTTTGGGGTCATCTGGCGGGTTAGGAGAGACCACTTCAAATTGACCATTTTCTTGACGTTGACAAATCTTAGGACAGAATGGGTCAACACTTTGAATGACCCGTAGGAAGGTCACCGGAGACCTCAAAATGGTGTCATTCCAGACGAATCTCCAAGGAGGTACCGCCATGTCTTCCTGTTGTCAAGTTTTCACCTTACCTGATATGTTAGATTAAGGACCTGCTCAAAACGCTATGCGTGTTAGTGGCTTTGTAAGAACGTAAAAATACCAATCTTATGTTATCTCACAAACCCATTGAACCTTCTTGTAAATAAAAATTAGTATTATATTATTATGATATCTTTCCCTTTGGGAAAACACTAATGAAAAGGCAAATTTGTCCGTTTTCTCATTGGAAACATAAATTTCAAAATAATTTCCTGGTCGCAAAAGCAAAGTATGAGTTGAATAATGTTAATTTCCTATACGTTTTAGGCATAAATCATTAGGAAGTAAAACTTACTTCCCCTTGGGGCAAAAACTGTTACAGTCTGTAATAGCTTATTCTACGATCAAAATTATATCTCTTTGAAAAATCGGTTGAGGCTTCATATTGTCAGGAATGAATGATGTATTATTGTGTATATATATTGTATATTTATTTACGTACAAACATTTTGATTACGGTATGTATATGTGTGTAGTGAAAATATTTATTATTGATTTCAAGGTGTAATATTGAGTATGCAGATAAATTAATGTTGTGCAATATACTTTACAACTTGCTTTGATAAAAAAGGTATATACCTGTATGTACAGTACGTTGGCATAGTATGTGTATATTCTTAGGTATACACGTGTATTATACTGAGGTTTACAGACATGAATATTTCGTTTCTTATTAACTTGTGCTTGCATTTATTTCTGTATATTAGTGAGAAACAAATAAAGAAATTAAAATATACAATTCTCTTAATATATTTTTAGTATATATATATATATGTCGTACCTAGTAGCCAGAACTCACTTATCAGCCTATTATGCAAGGCCCAATTTGCCTAATAAGCCAAGTTTTCATGAATTAATTGTTTTTCGACTACCTAACCTACCTAACCTAACCTAACCTAACTTTTTCGGCTACCTAACCTAACCTAACCTATAAAGATAGGTTAGGTTAGGTTAGGTAGGGTTGGTTAGGTTCGGTCATATATCTACGTTAATTTTAACTCCAATAAAAAAAATTGACCTCATATATAATGAAATGGGTAGCTTTATCATTTCATAAGAAAAAAATTAGAGAAAATATATTAATTCAGGAAAACTTGGCTTATTAGGCAAATCGGGCCTTGAATAGTAGGCTGAGAAGTGCGTTCTGGCTACTAGGTACGACATATATATATATATATATATATATATATATATATATATATATATATATATATATATATAAAAATTCAACCCAGCCTAGAGAACATAAAAAACATCATCACCAAAAAACTCTCACACCTCAACAAAGCCTACCTACACCAGAGAATAGCTGAAGGTTCGCCCTCTGCAACATGGTATCTTCAGGCAACCAAATTAGAAAGGTTAAATATCCCAAAAGGAATCCACAGGAAAATAGCAGTTAGGCTATATAGACTACGTCTAGGTTACAGATGCAACTGGGAGATTGGTGAACCCCGACAGAGAGAGTGCATCTTCTGCCAAACTGTCACAGAAAAGCCATTACTTCACTATCTTCTGGAATGTGAAGCAACCAATGACCTTAGAAGAGCTTTAAGAGTTCCTGAATCATGCAGTGGCCACCCTGAAGCCATCAACACAGCCACTCTCCTGGTCAACAAAGGTGTCCAGCAGCTGGACACCCTCATAAAGACTGTGAAGCAGTATCCTCCCCCGCGATAACAGCTTGATGGTTAAATGCAAACTCAGAATACTGAGAAAAAAAAATTGTACCACTTACGGGCTATTCATGCCCGTGCCACCTCTTGGGTGGCTTAATCTTCATCAATCAATCAATCAACTCTGTTCCCCACAGCTCTTGATACTGGTAATGGCTCAAAAGGGCCACCACTTACGGGCTATTCATGCCCGTGCCACCTTTTGGGTGGCTTAATCTTCATGAATCAATCAACTCAGTTAAAGTTGTGTGTGTGTAAACTAAAGTCTTTGAAAATGTAATAAGTTTTACGAAACGCGTTCAAGTGTCGCGTCAGACTAGAAATAAAAATGAATTTTGGAGAATTGATTTTTCAGTTACCATCAACAGTGAAAAGAAATATAAGAAACATTGAGAAAATTCGTGTTAGAATTATTAATCTTACTTTTTCGGTCATATATATATATATATATATATATATATATATATATATATATATATATATATATATATATATATATATATATATATATATATATAACGCTGAACTGTAATGCCAATCCTGACCTCAAAAGCGTCATTGAAGGTTGTAACAGAACCCATGAGCACCACACCAGAATCCCTCAATAATCATTAGAATGATTAGAGGGATTCTAATCATCCCATTGATTGGTCTTCCTCCAAAATAATCTTTCCTGCCTCTACTCTACACAGACGCCGTCTTGTAGAATCGGCTCTAATACACAATGTATCCAACATGAACTTGAGTCCTGGCTTTGTTGCTGTGGACTCTTCCCTTTCACAGTATATACTCAAATGCTCTAATCTTTCTAACAAACGTGACTTAACATAAGCTTACCCCTTCTATTTATCTTTCTTTCTCTTTCCTTTTCTTTCTCTCTTCTCCCTTTTTTCTGTTCATTGTCTTCTACGCTCCCTTGCTATCATCTTCTTATTCCTATTACTATCTACTTCTCATTCGGTGGTTATAATAGGAGCTGCCTCGTATGGGCCAATAGGCCCTCTGCAGCTCTTATTATTATTACTATCCTCCTTTACTACACCTTACTTTGCTCCTCAGCTCTCTCTTGCCTATTTATTGCCTGTCTCTACTTCCTCCTCACAATCGACTTGTGAATGGTCCAGGACGGACCGAAACGTCGTCGTGCTTTACCTTCTAGTGCGTGGTCTGGTCAACATACTTTAGCCACGTTATTGTGACTCATCGCCTGCAAACATACTGGAGCCTGTCAGTAAGGTAAGACTGAAGGTACTGCAGGGAGTGTCCTCTGACTCCATAATGATGTAATTTAAGAAGGTTTTGGTGGTTGACAGTGTCAAAAGCCTTACGCAGGTCCACAAATAACCCAACAGGGAACTCATTTTTATCAAGAGCTGCATGTATCAAGTTAATCATACTAATAAGTGCATAGTTAGTGCTTTTATTGGGTCTGAAGCCATATTGACAAGAGCTAAGTATATTGAGTTTAGCTAGATAAGAGTAAAGCTGCTTGTAGATTAGTTTTTCAAATATTTTTGACAAGTTTGGCAGGATTGATATAGGTCTGAAGTTATTAACATCAGTGAGATCACCACATTTATGGACAGGGGTTACTCTCGCTTTTTTTTTTTTTAGAATGTCTGGAAAGGTTTGGAGTTCAAGTGACTTGTTGTAGAGCAATGCAATAGCAGGGGCTAAAGATCTGGAGGCTTTTTTGTAAGTTAAAGTTGGTATCTCCTGAAGGGCACTAGACTTTGTTTTTCAGATGAATTAGTAGGAGCTAGGTACAGAGACTCTGGATAGTTACCTGAGAGGTAGTCTTTAATATTAGTGAGTGAGGATGGAATATCATGAGTAAGGGATGTCCCAATGGTTGAGAAGAACCTATTGAATTCAGTAGCAGTGTCTGAGGCCGAAAGCACACCATCGCCATTGGACAGGAGAATTTGTTTTTTATTCAAAATCTTTTTTTGATCCTAATATTTGGGAGATAGTGCTGTTTTCTTAATGTTGCCTTTAATTTGAGTAAATTTATATTCGTAGTATTTTATTTTGGCTCTTCTAATTATTTTAGACAGAACTGATGAGTAAATATTTGAAAATTCTTTGGAGACGACTTCTAGCCTATACTTCTTCTCAAGGTCATGTTTTTTATTAATAGATTTAAGTATACCCTTTGTAAGCCATGGTGGATTGTTTAACCTTTTAGTTGTAACTTGTTTCGTTAGTATAGGACAGTGAGAGTTATACAGGCTCAGAGTTTTCTGAAGAAATGTTTGCACTGTTAGGTTGATGATCACTATGTCACCTAATACAGCCTCCCAGGTGATATTAGCAGCAGCAGCAGCAATAAAGTTGCTTATAGAAGTTTCATCGTGCAGCCTAAAGCTTATCTTCCTTGTATCTAGAGGTGGTTTATTAATGTTGGTTAGGAGAAATGTGGGGTAATGGTCTGTGGTGCTATCAGTGATTATCCCTGAAGTAAGTGGAGAGGTTATGTTGGTCCAGATGTGATCAAGAGCCGTGGCAGTACTGTCAGTGATTCTAGTAGGTCTAGTGATTAAGGGTATGAGGAAGCAGGAATTCATACAGTTGAGGAAACTAGCAGCAGGAGAGTTATCAGGCTCGCAGAGGTCAACGTTAAAGTTATATTAAATTATTTAATAATAAATACAAACTCGTCCTTCACCTGTGGTAAAGGAAAGTCTACTTGGAAGGATTCAATTTACATGAGATTAAGATTAGGATACAAATATATCTGGCAATACGGTGTTGATGTCAGTGAAAATCTGACACCAGAAATAAATACAGTTTTGATATTCCAAGAGTACGACTTAATCAAACTAGAAATGCTCTACAAATCAAGGGGCCCAGAATGTGGAATGACCTTCCCAACCATGTTAAAGACTGTACCTCTCTCAACCAGTTTAAGATAAATACGAAGCACTACCTAATAAATTCCCTGTAACCTACCTTACCCCTCTAATGTCAACCCATGTATGTTTTTTTAAACAACGCTGTTTGTCGACCTAATTGTATTTGTGCTGTTTTTCAGCAATGTTCCCCCTTTTTTTCTCAACACTTTTTATACTCTAATCTCAATTAGTATTAAGCTTTAGTCATTAATGTTTTTCATGCCCGAAACGCTTTGCGTAATAGTGGCTTTAGGCATTGTATGTACTAGCTCTATCTATAAATCGATCAAATTATGTAAAATCTCTTGTATGTATGTACTTTACCTGAATAAACATTTTATTTTATTTATTTATTTATTTATTTATTTATATAAATATAATACACATGAGAGGATGTGCAGTGACTTAATATCTAACATATTCAGAGATTTGAGTAGGGGTACCAAGTGCTGTCTGGGGCCAGAGTTAGATATTGTCCTAATACCATATAATCCTTGAACATACTTGCTCATACTTGATTTTTGAACTTGACCCACTTCTACCATGTCGTAGCTCAGTCGATTAAGGCAGCGTCTGGGATCCTCTCGGACGTAGGTTCGAACCCTCGTTGTGGATTTGTTCCCTTGACCCAGCTCTGGACGCTTGACCCGCTTCGGGGACATAATTCAAACCTCCCGCCACAACCAGCACCAGCAGGCTCGTTGTGCTTCATGTTCCAAATATGCATTATTTTACACAATTCTCTCCATATGTACTTCACTGAATTTTATTACATATCTTTAATTAGGTTTATGCACAAAAAATGTCCTTATTTGTGGAAGGCGGATGTCGATGTTTACTGCGGCTAGAGTTGTCAACAAAAGCCAACAGCGGCCTGGTAAGTCATGGCATTCTTCAGCATTTTTGGGGAAGTTTCTGGGAGTATTTGACACGTGGAGCTGGCTCCTCTGGCCTAATGTGGCCTCGGGCGTGTGGCGGAGGCTTGGGCTCTTGAGATGTTATGTAGGAGAGTGTGGTTAATGTGGTTTAGCGGTGTTGTGGTGGTGGAGTCTGGCTGGCTGGCGGGGGGCTGAGTTTACCTGAGGGCCACACTAGTGCCCTCGACCAGGACAGGAAGCCGGCGGCTTGTTGAAGGTCCCCCCCACCCCATTAACCTTGGGGTTATTTTCAGATTATACATGAAGGTGCAGTTGGTTGGGATAGTACATGCACAGTACACTTGAGTATGCTGACTAGGGGTGGCTGAGTGGACAGCACTCTTGATTCGTGGACCTACGGACGGGGTTCAATCCCCGCTGCTGGCGGAAAACAAATGGGCAGTTTCCTTCACACTGATGCCCTTGTTACCTAGCAGTAAATAGGTACCTGGGAGTTAGACAGCTGTTACGGGCTGCTTCCTGGGGGTGTGTACCTTACCTTGAGGTGCTTCCGGGGCTTAGCGTCCCCGCGGCCCGGTCGTCGACCAGGCCTCCTGGTTGCTGGACTGATCAACCAGGCTGTTAGACGCGGCTGCTCGCAGCCTGACATATGAGTCACAGCCTGGTTGATCAGGTATCCTTTGGAGGTGCTTATCCAGTTCTCTCTTGAACACTGTGAGGGGTCGGCCAGTTATGCCCCTTATGTGTAGTGGAAGCGTGTTGAACAGTCTCGGACCTCTGATGTTGATTGTTCTCTCTTGAACACTGTGAGGGGTCGGCCAGTTATGTCCCTTATGTGTAGTGGAAGCGTGTTGAACAGTCTCGGGCCTCTGATGTTGATAGTTCTCTCTTGAACACTGTGAGGGGTCTGCCAGTTATGTCCCTTATGTGTAGTGGAAGCGTGTTGAACAGTCTCGGGCCTCTGATGTTGATAGTTCTCTCTTGAACACTGTGAGGGGTCTGCCAGTTATGTCCCTTATGTGTAGTGGAAGCGTGTTGAACAGTCTCGGGCCTCTGATGTTGATAGTTCTCTCTTGAACACTGTGAGGGGTCGGCCAGTTATGTCCCTTATGTGTAGTGGAAGCATGTTGAACAGTCTCGGACCTCTGATGTTGATAGAGTTCTCTCTCAGAGTACCTGTTGCACCTCTGTTTTTCACCGGGGGTATTCTTCACATCCTGCCATGTCTTCTGGTCTCATTTGATGTTATTTCTGTGTGCAGGTTTGGGACCAGCCCCTTCAATATTTTTCACGTGTAAATTATTATATATCTCTCCCGCCTGCGCTCAAGGGAGTACAGTTTTAGGCTCTTTAGTCGGTCCCAATAGTTTAGATGTTTTACTGAGTGGATTCTAGCAGTAAAGGATCTCTGCACGCTCTCCAGGTCAGCAATTTCTCCAGCTTTGAAAGGGGCTGTCATTGTGCAGCAGTACTCCACTCTAGAGAGCACAATCGTCTTGAAAAGTATCATCATCGGTATAGCATCTCTATTGTGAAAAGTTCTTGTTATCCAACCTGTCATTTTTCTTGCAGTTGTGACGGCTACTTTATTGTGTTCTTTAAAGGTAAGGTCTTCCGACATGAGTACACCCAGATCCTTTACATTGCCTCTTCGTTCTATGTTATGATTTGCCTGAGTTTTGTACGTGGTTTCCGTTTTTATATTTTGTTTTTTTTATATGTGTATGTGTGTGTAATTACCTAACTGTAATTACCTAAGTGTAGTTACAGGATGAGAGCTACGCTCGTGGTGTCCCGTCTTCCCAGCACTCTTTGTCATATAACACTTTGAAGCTACTGACGGTCTTGGCCTCCACCACCTTCTCACCTAACTTGTTCCAACCGTCTACCACTCTGTTTGTGAAGGTGAATTTTCTTATATTTCTTCGGCATCTGTGTTTAGCTAGTTTAAATCTATGACCTCTTGTTCTTAAAGTTCCAGGTCTCAGGAAATCTTCCCTATCGATTTTATCAATTCCTGTTACTGTACTATTTTTTATGTAGTGGTCATATCACCTCTTTTCCTTCTGTCTTCTAGTTTTGACATATTTAATGCCTCTAACCTCTCCTCGTAGCTCTTGCCCTTCAGTTCTGGGAGCCACTTAGTAGCATGTCTTTGCACCTTTTCCAGTTTGTTGATGTGCTTCTTAAGATATGGGCACCATACAACTGCTGCATATTCTAGCTTTGGCCAAACAAAAGTCGTGAACAATTTCTTTATTATTTCGCCATCCATGTATTTAAAAGTAGTTCTGAAGTTAGAAAGCATGGCATAGGCTCCTCGCACAATATTCTTTATGTGGTTCTCAGGTGATAGTTTTCTATCTAGAACCACCCCTAGATCTCTTTCTTTATCAGAAGTCTTTAAAGATTTCTCACATAATATATAGGTTGTGTGAGGTCTATGCTCCCCTATTCCACATTCCATAACATGGCATTTATTAACATTAAATTCCATTTGCCAAGTGGTGTGTGTGTGTGTGAGGAAAAAAAAGTAGTTAGTAACAGTTGATTGACAGTTGACAGTTGAGAGGCGGACCAAAAGAGCAGAGCTCAACCCCTGCTAGCACAACTAGGTGAATACATTGAGTGGTACACATCTAAAGCCACTAACACGCATAGCGTCGAAGTACACCACAGTGTAGTACACTCTTGCGAAGCCACTAACACACATAATGTCGAAGTACACTGAGTAGTACACTCTTGCGAAGCCACTAACACGCATAATGTCGAAGTACACTGAGTAGTACACTCTTGCGAAGTCACTAACACGCATAATGTCGAAGTACACCGGGTAGTACACTCTTGCGAAGCCACTAACACGCATAGCGTCGAAGTACACCGGGTAGTACACTCTTGCAAAGCCACTAACACGCATAGCGTTGAAGTACACCGGGTAGTACACTCTTGCACAGCCACTAACATGCATAGCGTCAAAGTACACCGGGTAGTACACTCTTGCAAAGCCACTAACATGCATAGCGTCGAAGTACACCGGGTAGTACACTCTTGCAAAGCCACTAACATGCATAGCGTCGAAGTACACCGGGTAGTACACTCTTGCAAAGGCACTAACATGCATAGCGTCGAAGTACACCGAATAGTACACTCTTGCAAAGCCACTAACACACACAGCATTTCCTGTATGTCCTTAGGCTAAGCAATAAATGTTGTGATAGGTACATTAGAGTTCAACATGATAACCGCATTAGAAATTGATAGTGCAGATTAAACTGGTGAAGCTGCATGTTTTGAGTAATAATTTGGGTGAGTTTGAAGCACAATGTAACAAACTTTGTGGATGAAAGTAGGTATATTTTGGTTTTGCTTTTGAATAAAGTATTGGCTGAATTTTTTTTTAAATCATCAGGGAATGAGTTCCATAAACTGGGTCCTTTTATTTGCATAGAGTGTTTGCACAGATTTAGTTTGACTCTGGGGAGATCAAAGAGAAATTTATTTCTGGTGTGGTACTCATGGGTTGTATTATATCTACCAAGGAAGAGTTTCAGATCAAGATTAGCATTTAGGAACAAGGTTTTGTACATATAGATAGCACATGAGAATGTGTGGAGTGAGTGTGTGTTTAGCATGTTAAGGACTTAAACAGAGGGACTGAGGGTTGTCTGAAGACAAAGTTTGTTATAGTATTGATAGCAGATTTTTGCCGAGTGATGATGGGCTTGGGATAATTTGCAGTGGTTGAGCTCCATGCGCAGATACCATATGTAAGATAGGGATAGATTAGCAAGTACGTAGTACAGTGTAAGACGAGCAGAGTGGGGAACGTAATATTTGATTCTTGAGAATATGCCAACAGTTTGAGACTTTTTGTATATACTAGTACAGGTATAATCCTTTATATAAGGGCATAATGGCTTAGTGCTATCTCTTGATAATTACATTACCTTACCATGGTACTTTTTTGGCTATTTGGATGTAATGTAGTTTACCTTGACCCATGAAAAAGTCCTGCTACAATTTCATGGTACAAATGCGGTTATTGTCACAAATGTTCCTAGGGGGAATGTTGTTATCATCATATGATAATTTAAACAATTATTGTCTGTTTGACATGTTCGACATGTATGATGCAAATATGGATATAAAAGCTCTCTGTGGAAGTAAAAAAAGAAAAACAAGTGATAAAACATTGAGTGAGACATCAAAGGATAAAAGAGAAGAGTCAACAAAATCAAGCACCGGGTGTTGACACGTGACAGAAGCAGCCTTGCTGAGCGCCTCCACCCACTGAAACGATAGATATTCACTTATTTTCATGTTTTTCTTACATTCTTCATACAAGTTAATAATTCTATATCAAAAATGATTTGTTGGATTTTTATTTTTTGGCCATAGACGGGTATGACCATTTCTTAATAGCCGTTGTCTAAGGGTTAAAAGAGAGGCATGAGGAGCGCTCCGGATGTACGCTTGTTAGTATGTGGTGGACTTCAGGAACCTGCTCCGCTGGCCACTGCAAAGTGTAATGAATTATTACCCAAATTGAATTGTTTTTACAAGAGGGATATTTATACTCTGCTTCAAGGTAAAAAGTTGTTTAAACTGTACAGGGGTCTGGAGGACATCGGATACCTTATCGTCCGAGATCTCCAAGTATCGGCAGATTGTCGTAAAATTTATCATCTGGAAGTTGTGGCCAGGGAACGGGAGCTGGGCAATATGGTTAAATCATAAATAAGCATTACTACAAAACTACTTCTAATTAACCCATACATATTGTTTGGTTGGATTGGCCTAGGTAGGTTTTAAAAATTGTTGCCAAACTGTCTTTGGTAACCTATATCCACACCCCCACCCACTCACCTACCAAAAACTAAATCCACCCTCTCATTTTCCCAACCAAACACCTACACAATATTTGCACGTTTATTAAGCCCAATAGATTACTGACCAACCAGCAAGTACACATTAATCCTGAACATTATCCTGGAGTAAAGTTTACTCTCATTCTCCCCAAAGTGCACTACAACAGGCAGGATTGGCAACAGCAAACTTCCTCCCCAATACAGTTCTCTGTTTCTCCCTCACAGAATTCTCTCTTCCTCCCCCACAGAGTTCTCTCTTCCTCCCCCATGGATTTCTCTCTTCCTCCCCCACAGAGTTCTCTCTTCCTCCCCCACAGAGTTCTCTCTTCCTCCCCCACGGATTTCTCTCTTCCTCCCCCACAGAGTTATCTCTTCCTCTCCCACAGGGTTCTCTGTGGGGAAAAACAATTTCAAGTGAGAGCCACTCGTGGACCCCTGGAAGGTGCTGATGGCACCACTGCACATCAGATTGGGCCATATGAAACAATTTGTCACAGCTCGATTGTTAAGGCTGCAAACGTAAGGAGTTTGCAGCTCCTTCAAGTGCCCTCAAGAATATTCCGTAAGCTGTCAGAGGCGTAGGTGAAAACCGGTGTCTTTGTTAGACGACCACATATGAAGAAAATCTTGGAGTGCAAAAAATTCCTCAAGAAGCTCACCCGAACGGAAAAAGTGGCTTTGAATAGCTTTGCCACATAGTTTAGGGTTTGTTTGGCAGTCACAAAGCCCAAAATTATGTGGAACTGGACTAGAGACAGGTGAAGAACTGTGGCACAATGGACTGCAGGATGTTCTTCAATGTCCATATCCCGATAAATTAAAAACCCAGGGAACGTTCTCGGAGGAGCCGGGCAAGTGTTATATTGGACTTTGAATGCAGCTACCAAGGACAGTAAAACAAGATCACAATGGGAGACTGTATTTGGGGGTTGATTCGTGAAAATAATTTACAATATAATCGTAAATCTCAAAAACTATCTGCTTCTAAACCTTTTGGCATTTTTGTATAACTTTAGTATAAATATATGTTAATTTTTAATCATGTTGTATTTTCTTACTTTATGTGAACAAAGACACAAATTTGTTTATTTTCATATTGGAAATAGGTCAATTTCAAAACATGACTGTCCTGGACACAAAAGCAAAGTTTGAGGGAGGAATTAATAGACATTTTCTATCATTTTTAGGCATAAGCAATTAGCAAATAACACTTACTAACCCAGGGACAAAAATCGTGTTACAATGTGTTATCAATACATTCAGTGATCAGCAAGAGTTACTAGACAAGGAATGTGAAACACAATGATAGTTATATTGACTTGTGGTGGTACTCATTAGTCATAATCACCAGCTACTGGAGGGACATGTTCAGGGCTACCTAGTCTACCCTCCGCAGGCAGGTCGAGATCCTCATTCATTTCCTCATAATTTGGTGGCGCGCGCATGTGTGTGTACGTTTGTAATAAGAGTAATATTGAAATTTTAGTTTTTCAATCAGGTGTGTGCTTTTTTTCTCTAAATATGCTAATTATTTGAAGAATATACTACATAATCAAAATGATTTTAATTACATTTAACAATTAATATTGCAGATGGGGGACACAGAAAGCAACAAAACATCTGATGAAATCATAAACGAGCTTTTCAGTTCTCTGAATGTCCCGTTATCACCAAAACCACAAGAAACCAAGGAAGACCATGACAAAGAAGGTAAATTGACCATAGATATAGCAGACTCGGACAACAGTGAGGATGATGAAAGTGACTCTAAGTCCAGTGGAAGCGACGAGGAGGTAAAAAGCACATCGAGGACCGTTCAAGGTGAAGCTCAAGATGAGGTACACGGTGAAAAGATTGGAAAAAGAAAATCACAAAGAAAGAAAAAAGACAAGAAGAAAAAGAAGAGAAGGCGCAGAAAGAAAGGGGATGGAGGACGGCATAAACATAAGAAGAGGAAGAAAAAGGAAAATATTGAGCTTCCTGATGACCAATATGTCTCTGACGACCTTGTTGAAGAGTCTCTCGATGATCAACACATCTCTGGTGGCCTTGTGCAAGAGCCTCTTGAGGATCAACATATCTCTGGTGACCTTCTTGAAGAGCCTGTTGAGGATCAACACATCTCTGGTGAACTTAAAGAGCCTGTTGATCAACACATCTCTAGTGACCTTGTGCAAGAGCCTCTTGATGATCAACACGTCTCTGATGACCTTGTTCGAGAGCCCCCTGATGACCATAAGCAAGAAGCTCCTGACGCTCAACACGTCTCTGACAAACTTGTGCAAGAACCTCGTGACACTCAACACATCTCTGGAGACCTTGTGCGTGTACTTCCTGACAGTCTCGTGCAAGACCCTCCGGAGCACCAGCATCTCTCTGCCAACACTGTACAAAAATCTCCTGAGTACCAGCGTCTCTCTGCCGATCTTATGCATAAGCCCCCAGAGGACGAGGACCTCTCCTCCTGCCTTGTGTTTGGTACTGAATTAAAAAATCAAATTTTGATAAAAAAATTGATTGTACAGGAAGAAATGAAGAAGGCACTGTCTCCAGATGTGAAAGAAAGGCAAAAAAATATATCCAAATCAGAAAAGCTGAAGTTAAATTTTTCCTTAAAAAGCGTAGAAATTGATACCAAAAATAAAATTCTGTCGAGATGTGATGTAGACAAGAAGGATGAATCACAGGCAAAGCATGGCAAGAATGATCAAATTAGACCCTCCAAGTCCCGGTCACCTGCACTGCCCGTATCCCAGACGGTGAATAATATCCACTCGAGGCCAGAGCCTCTCGGGGAAGCTAGGCAGAGGTCACCCAAGTCGAGATCCAGGTCACAGTCGAGACGTACTGAAAATTCAAGATCACGTTCCAAGTCAAAATTTTGGCATCACAAATCAAGAACAAAGTCGCCCAAAGCATCAGAAAGCCATAAGAGATCGTCTAGATCACATTCAAGATCGTTAACACCAAAGCACGTTAAAAAAAGGCGATCTTCTAAATCACACTCAAGGTCATCCTCAAGAAGAAGGTCAAGATCGAAAAGAAACTCGAGGTCGGCATCGAAAAGAAACTCGCGATCAAGATCCAAAAGAAACTCGAGATCAAGATCCAAAAGAAGTTCTAGGTCGAGATCCAAAAGGAACTCAAGGTCGAGATCCAAAAGGAACTCAAGGTGTACATCCAAAAGGAACTCAAGGTCTAGTTCCAAAAGAAATTCACGATCAAGCTCCAAAAGAAACTCGAGGTCAAGATCGAAAAGAAATTCAAGATCAAGATCCAAAAGAAACTCACGATCTGGTTCAAATAAAACCTCACGATTAAGCTCCAAAAGAAACTCAAGGTCAAGATCCAAAATAAACTCAAGGTCTATATCCAAAAGAAACTCTAGATCAAGATCACAATCAAAAGTAAAATCACAATCAGACTCCAAAAGAAATTCAAGGTCAAGGTCCACAGGAAACTCGAGATCAAGATCCAAAAGAAAATCCAGGTCCAAATCTCCCAAAAAATCAAGATCTAGATCCCGGAGAAGGTCAAGGTCACAAAGAAGATCAGTATCAAAATCAAAGAGGTCAAATTCAAAATCTCCTAAAATATCTTCTTTTTCAAATGAAACGTGTAATTTATTAGATAAAATAGCTAAAAATTCCACTATAGCTGGAGAGCTTAAAGGCGTCGATGCTAAAAATCTGGATCTAAACTGCATCCCACCGCCGGATCCCGGACTCAAGGCACGGAACAGTTCTCGGGGTGTGATTGCACTGGAGAGCATACCACTCCCGATCCCAACCCTAACTATCCCAGATCCCAGCTCCATTCCTCTACCTCAGCCATTGTCCGAGCTTGATGGGTCGCTGAAGGAACTGAAGTCCGTAGATGGTGTTGACTTGGACCTGAAAGCAATCCCCGTTCCGGTTGTGTCTGGGGACGTGCTTAGCAAAGAGCAAGACAGCTGTAAGACTAAAGATTGTAACAAGGCCAAGCAGGAAGAAGGTATGTACAATACTATACACAGTGTATTTCTAATACATTTTGATAATTTTTGGAGACCATTAGATGTACTGTATTATATGGTAGATCATTTTCTAAACTATAGACTTAGAGTTTCTGAAAGGACTCCTCAGTAACTTGGAAAGCCATTGAGGGACTACCTTATGTTGGCCTTTGTGGTCTTCTGGGGATTAATGGCCCAGTGACCCGGTCTCTAGCCAGGCCTCCCAGTTGGTCGTCTGATCAACCAGGCTGTTGGATGCAGCTGCTCACAGCCTAACATATGAATCGCAACCTGGTTGGTCAGGTATTTGTTGGAGGTGTTTGTTGACTTCTCTCTTGAACACTGTGAGAAGCCAGTCAGTTATGCTCCTTACATGTAGTGGTTAGTGTGTTGTGTGTTGTGGGACCCTCAAAAACAAAGTAGTATTGCTGCATTCAACGCTGAATTTGTTTACCTTCCAATGTACCCCCCCCCCCCCCACTCCCACAGGTGGGATATGTGATCAGACAACACTGTCAAAGCATCACTGGACTGTTAGCAGATTTTTTAGGCATCAATGCCACAAGAGCTATGGCATCACTACAGGATCACTCAATATGCTTGAGAGCCTCTGGAGAATCAATTCAGCCAGAGTTACATTATTCTGACTAATGTATTCACAAGCACAAATCTCTAAGAGCTCCATTGATGCCATAACAAGGAGAAAACACAGTATTGGTACGATTTTTCTGTTCTAAAAGACAGTCAAAATACAAGCTTAGCTCACTCTAGTACCTGTATTACTAAGGCTTGAATGACTGGTCCGTATGGCTCTGGCTTTTACACGCTTAACTCGCTCTAGTACCGGTAGTGCTGAGGCTCAAACCACTTACAGTACCTGGTCCTGGTGGCTGTCTTCCTCCCCCACAGGTGGATACAAGAGTAGATGACCTCTGATTTGTGTTACCAAGCTTAGAGTTTTTTCTTCCCATAACTCATGTTAAGCTTTACCCTATTAGTTTTGCCTGGAATATGAATCACCAGTTGGTTAACAAGCAGGTCCCCAATTACTGCAGGGGAACAGGAAGAAACGGTTAAGGATTTGTACCCAGTCAATCATCTTTGAAGAGGGCTTGAACCCTGACAAAATCGGTCATGAGGAATGGTGGGAGTGTGCTACCACTGTGCCACAATGGGTTATTTTTTATGTAATTACAGCTTATCCTCCTGAGACTTTTCTGCTTGTATTAACCACAGTACTGCACAGAGCGCTTTAACCCCTGCACTGCGCACCTGTTTTTGGCAAAAACTTCATAGTGCAATTGTTAAGGATATATTTTTGTTGTTTTTATAAATGTTCAGGTAAAGTTAATGTCAAAATGTTTAGAAACTCAACTATTTTCATTTTAAAACACAGTGATGAAAATATTAAAAAACATTAAAATATAGCCTAATTAAAAAAAAAACCAGACAACTCTCAAAACAGCATTTGGCGTAGTGCAGTGGTTAAGGCACTGAGAGTTGTGCTTTTTTTTTTTTAATTAGGTTATATTTTAATGTTTTTTAGGGGGGGAGCCCCTACAGCTCCCCGGAGCTATCCATGGCTGATATGGATACCCTAACTATTTAGCATCAGTCGATGTGGGTAGAGTTCTAGGCCTATCGGGGACCACGAGCCAGAACCTGACCCCCCCCCCTCATGGAAATGTGGGCATTGGAGATCATAGCCTTTCCACTCTTTAGTTGAGAGTTTGCACAGTTTAGGGTGAAGGTATCTTCACTTTGTTTCAAAATGGCATGTTCTCCAACTGAGCCAGCAGCGTGATTGGCTTTACAGTAAGATGAACAATGTTACCTTCTCTCTGATTGGTCAAACGAAAAGCACTAGTGACATTTGTCGAGTCGTAGGTGAACCAGAATAAAATCCCTAATAACTGTGCTTGAACACTTTGTTGAATCATGCGTAGGAGCCTTGTTAGTAAATGTATAAGAACCTTTATATTATAACACAGCCATTTAAGAAGACATATATGGTGCCTAGTGAATCTAGGTCCCGTGTTGTAACTGCCCCCAAGCTAACCACAACAACAACAACAAACTGGAGCTAGGGAGCATAAGATAAACTTGACTCATGCAGAGCAGGGTTGGGCTCACCCACTTGGTCTTCATTCCACAGGAAAAAAATTTACAATACATTTAGGTTATTTGTTCATGACATAGATGTCTTGACTTTAATACTGTATAGTTATTGTATCTTAAATGTAATATAGATTTCTTAAGTTAAATGTCAGTGCAAATTTTCTTCACTGTAAAGAAATGCTTTATGTTAAACCTTTTTAACCATTTTCTTATTTCCTTTGCCCTAGGATCGGAAAAAGGAAAAGCCAAAACAATCATTATCAAGAGTCTAAAGGACAGCCTGGTGTTCCTCCAGGCTCAGGAAGAGGCGGAGAGACGAGCTAAAGAAATAGCCAACCATCACGAGAATAGTCCCAAAGACACAGACGAGAAGAGCACCGAAGATTTGGAAGAAAAGAAAGATGATGATAAAAGAGAGACGAGCCAAGAGAAGAATGTGGAGGAAGGCGCAAAAAAGGACGTCTCAAATATTGTGAATGACCTAAAAGTGGAAATAACAGAAGTGATTAAAGACAAAAAGGAGATAATTAAAACGAAGCAGGAAGCAGTTGGCAACAAAGCAGAGGAACTGGAAGATAAAGAAGAGACAAAGAAAAGCAAAGTACCAGTCACTGAAGAAGTGAAGAAAAACGGAGAACAGAAAGATGATGATATAGCAAATGGTAAGCCTATCAAATGTTATTTCTGTATAGAAAACGGTAAGCTTACTTAATTATATTTATCAAACAATATGCATATTAAATGTTATTTCTGTATAAGAAATAGTGTTTATTTAATGTTATTTCCATATAGAGCCAGTATCATTGAGATGAACATGTCTAATTAAATGTCAAATTAGTAAGATGTGAAGTCAAGTGTGACTCTTCCTTGCATAATTTTCATCTGTTGTGGTTTCTATCTATATTGGATAATATTAATGCTATAGGATCATAGGTATATCACATCTTAAAAAAAAAAAGCTGAGATAAGCTTGTTGTGATAATTTTGACATTGTCTGAAGATTAGACTATATCAGATCATGGCATAAGAAACAATTAGAAAAGCTTGTGACACTTTGGATGCCATGTGAAGCTTAAGCACTATCAGATCTTGACACAAGAAACATGTAAAAGCAGCTTTTCATAATAATTATATCGTGTGTAGGTTAAGTTATTGGCTTGCCGTGCAGTATGCTAGGATCATAAATACAATTGCAAGTGATGAGTCACAATAACATGGCTAAAGATATGATGATTAAACCACTCGCCAGAAGATGAGGAGACGATGACGTTTCAGTCTGCCCTGGACCCAAACATCGTCGTCTCCTCATCTTCTGGTGTGTGTGGTTTAATCATCATAAATACAATTGTTGTTTGTTTCTGGAATCTTTGCTAGAGATTAATTGGATGACTTCTCATCTACTGTATCTGTGCCTTCTCTCTCCCATCCCAACTCCTTATCCTGACCCCCTTTCAAGTGCTATATAGTCGTAATGGCTTGGCACTTTCCCCCTGATAATTCCCTCCTTCCCTTTCCTGGGCATATACTCACAGACAATTCACTCACATGTGCCTTTTGCCCATTTTCCTTTATAAATTAGATATTGAAGCTGGTATCATAAAGTCGTCAATAAAAGCCAGTCTGGTTGGAGCAGCTTGAGGCATTGTTAGGCTTGTAACTCTTTTTGTAACATGTCCTCCTTGACCAAATTTTACAAGCAACTGCTGCACAACAGCAAGACTAAACACATGCCTCTTGGTTTTCTGCCTGATTTCACTAAATATATCTTGTAATATTTCAGCATGATTATGTTCTCAAAATGGAAAAACAGTTTCTTTGTCCACTTAACACACGTTTATGCACACGTAGAAAATGTGAAATGGAAAATGAAAAGGAAATGTGTGAAACATTAAACAAAAAGTTCCAAAGTGTGTTTGTACAAAATGAAATCTTCAGGGAACCAGACACAATAAGAATTCCAGAGAACAACATAGAGTACATAGAGGTGTCTAGAGACGAAGTGGAAAAAATGCTCAAGGAGCTAAGTAAGAACAAAGCAGTTGACCCAGATGGAGTTTCACCATGGGTTCTGAGAGAATGTGCACCTGAGCTCAGCATTCCTCTTCAACTGATTTTTCAGGCATCCCTGTATACAGGAGTTGTAGCTGATGTGTGGAAAAAGGCTAACATAGTTCCAATCTACGAAAGTAGCAGCAGGGAAGACCCCCTTAATTATAGACCTTTATCATTGACAAGTGTAATAGTCAAAATATTGGAAAAAAATGTTTAGAACTAAATGGGTAGAATACCTGGAGAAAAATGATATAATATCAGAAAGACAGTATGGTTTTCGATCTGGAAGATCCTGTGTAACGAATTTACTCAGTTTCTATGATCGAGCAACAGAGATTTTACAGGATAGAGATGGTTGGGTTAACTGCATATATCTGGACCTAAAAAAAAGCTTTTGACAGAGTTCCACATAAGAGGTTGTTCTGGAAACTGGAACATTTTGGAGGGGTGACAGGTAAGCTTCTAACATGGATGAAAAATTTCCTAACTGATAGAAAAATGAGGGCAGTAATCAGAGGCAGTGTGTCGGACTGGAGAAATGTCACAAGTGGAGTACCACAAGGTTCAGTTCTTGCACCAGTGATGTTCATTGTCTACATAAATGATCTACCAGTTGGTATACAGAATTATATGAACATGTTTGCTGATGATGCTAAGATAATAGGAAGGATAAGAAACTTAGATGATTGTCATGCCCTTCAAGAAGACCTGGACAAAATTAGTAAATGGAGCACCACTTGACAAATGGAATTTAATGTGAATAAATGCCATGTTATGGAATGTTGAATTGGAGAACATAGACCCCACACAACTTATAAATTATGTGAGAAATCACATATATGCCCATGTGACATCAGACGATGTCATTTTGCAGGATGAGGTGCTGATGCAGCTGACCTCCGCCTAGTAACCCCACGAAAACCGCTATCACTAAACGGATCCAAATGCTCTCTGCAATTAACTCCTGTGCTGCAATCGCCAAATGTAATTTTTTTTGCCACTGCTTCTGAATTATTTTTTCCATGTTCACCACAATATAGGACTTTTAATTAGCAGAGTTGTTTAAGGGTTAAGTGAGCATCCATGGTCTGAATGGTAGGACAACAGTTTCCAATTTTTCTGGCCCTAGTTCGAATCTTCAATGAGTCGGTTTAATAAATAGTTTTATTGTGTTTCAGGCATGGAAGAAGGAGAGATAGCTAGTGAAGATGAAGAGCCAGAGGACAAACCAGCTCTGAAATCTCACAGCAAGAAGAAGTCTAAGAAAAACAAAAATAAGAGTAAAGAGAAGCGGAAATCTCGAAAAGATAAGGAAAAGAGCAAAGATGACAAGAAGAGAGGCCGTGAAAGAAGCAGAAGCCACGAGCGAGACAAAACGAGATCGCGGTCAAGAGAGAAGCACAAATCTAGACGACGTTCAAGGTGAGAGCGCACGTTACGAGAGTTCTTACACTCTTGTGAAGCCTTTAGCATGTATAGCGTTCTGGCCAGATGATTGCTGGCTAACATGTGTCGTAGGTCACTGAAGATCCCCACTTTGGTTGTACATAATATCCAGGATAACTGATCGCCGATACTGGTTGTGTAATTACCTGAGTGTAGTTACAGGATGAGAGCTACGCTCGTGGTGTCCCGTCTTCCCAGTGCTCTTTGTCGTATAACTCTTTGAAACTACTGTACTGACAGTTTTGGCCTCCACCGCCTTCTCACTTAGCTTGTTCCAACCGTCTACCACTGTTTGCAAAAAATAATGCTAATATTTTTTCTGCACCTTTGTTTCCTTAGCTTGAATCTGTGTCGTCTTGTTCGTGAAGTTGCTGGTTTCAGGAATTCCTCTTATACAAGAGTGTGTACAGTGTTGTGCTTTTATAAAAGTGGCATTTTATTACATTGAAAACTAAATTTTAATATTTTTTTTAGTGTTTTTGGGTTCTAGGAATGTCTCAAATAATTTTGAGCAGTTATGGGCTTTGGATCCTGGCAACTTTTCCCTTCTGTTATCTATTTTTTGTATATATCTGCAAACGATGCAAAGTTTATTTTATGCACTGCTAAACTCAACATAAAGGATGGTATGGCGATTTGGCATCTTTTATACAGTATCTCTGGACTGTTGTTAAAAATGTGGTAAGTTCTCTAAGATTTCATTTTCTTCATTGTTTATTTCTGATGGTTGTGTAGCTGCAATTGTGAGCTGAGGTTCTCAGATGCTCCTTAAGTGAGTGCCATTATGGTCCACCAAGAACTCTCATTCCCCTGCTAGTTGCACTCAACACTCATACAAGATCACAATCCTCTATCATAATTATGTAGCTTTTTCTAAAATTTATATTGTTAATCTTGATGTATGTATACAATAAATGGTCACAATATTTAGGCAATATAATATTTAAATCTGTTTTGCCTAATACTATATTGACAGTAACATAAATTGAGAGATAAAACCAAGTAGAACATGACTATTATTGTGAAAATCTTAATTTTAAAGGTAATAGTAATTAATTCTGCTTTTCAGTAGTTCCCGCAATAAGGATCGGGATTATGATCGACGTCACAGGCGACACTCCCGTTCTCGCTCTAGGGATCGCTCTTCTCGCTTGCATCGTAAAAGGTAACGTTACACACGAATGTGTAATTGGGACAATGTACTGTATGTTAAATAATATTTTGCCTAGTTACAGTGTTATGCAAATTTTCCTTGCTATCTTATCGGTTACCTTGAGGTGCTTCCGGGGCTTAGCATCCCCGATGCCCGGTTGTCGACCAGGCCCACTGGTTGCTGGAGTGATGAACCAGGCTGTTGGACGCGGCTGCTCGCAGCCTGACGTATGAGTGATGATTCGGTTGGGCAGAGAATGTCACAATAATGTGGCTGAAATAATTAACCAAACCAGCAAATGGGATGAGAGTGAGGACTTGATAAGGGTCCACCTTGGAGCAAATTGTCACCACTTTAATGTCATATGTGAGTGTTGGGTTATTCATTCCTTATGGGCCTTATATAGGACTTGACATGTTCTTTTCCATGAGTATGGGCTTGTCCATACAATATTTATGTGTGTACATGATGAGTCACAATAATGTGGCTGAAGATAGGATGACTATACCACTGAAGATATGATGACCACATACGAACTTGATAATGGTCCAGGACGGACCGTTAGGTCGTCGTCGTTGCTCCATCTTTTGGTGTGTTGTTTGGTCGTAATAGTTATATATTTAATTGAAGGTTTGATATTATGGATGTATTGCCAACTTTGTATATCCTTTTCACTATGGCATCTACCATGGTTGATATAATTAAAGGGAGCTTGTCTGTAAGGCAAGAATAATGGCATGATTTACATGTTAGGCAAGTAGTTTGTATTATCACGAACCGTAAGACAACTGAAGTGACCATCTTAGCCCTAGGCATGTACTGTGTTCCCAGGAATGTACTTGAAAAAAATGTGTCTTTCATATGTATGCGCCTTGGGCTGGTTAGATTAGGTTCTTCATTTACTATACAATTTTAGTATGCCATCCATTTTGGCATATCCCACTGTATGTACTTTTACACACTGAACTACTAAATCATCAGAGATTCAAACTCGGGCCTCAAGAGCATGAGACTGTTGTCCTACCAACCAGGCCGTGGATGCTTACAATAAGTCTTCCATTCATCTGAGCCCTAGGAGACTTGAACCTCGGGCCCCACACGTGTGAGGGTGAAGCTATCTTACAATAAGTATGTAACTGATTCCCAACTAAGAATTTAAACCTAGAGCACCACTAAGGTATCTGGAGGTATTTCTAAGACCCTTCCTTATTGTGAGCATCAGTGGCTCTGTTGGTAGGACCATGGCCTTATAATTTCATCTTAGTTGCATCTTATACAAAAGTAGTAAACAATATAGTGTATGTGCTGTATAATCTATACCTAAATCCTTACTAAAGCTTTCTTACTTCCATTGTTATGAATACCTACATGTATTTTAACTAAAATGTTATTAAAACTGTTGATATTATTAGTTACTCCAGGTCACGATCAAGGTCCAAATCTCGCTCCAGACGAACGCGGGACCCGACAGCAGACCTCAGGGACAAGGTATGGTTGCATTATTGCGCACTGTATTTGTAGCGACGTACGAATGTTGCCCATATGTAAAATGTCTTGGGATCATTTGCTATATCTCATGATATTGCAAATCAGATGTAATTACCAAAGTGTAGTTATGTACTTAAGTGTAATTGCAGGATGAGAGCTCTGCTTGTGGTGTCGCATCTTCTTAATACTCTGTCATATGACAGCTTGAATCTACTGACATTGTGTAAATACCTACGTGTAGTTACAGGATGAGAGCTACACTTGTGGTGTCCCGTCTTCCCAGCACTCTTTGTTGTACAACGCTTTGAAACTACGGACGGTTTTGACCTCCACCACCTTTTCATTTGGCTTGTTCCAACTCTACCTCTGTTTGCAAAAGAAAACTTTCTAATATTTTTTTGGTACCTTTGTTCCCTTAGCTTGTGAGCATTTGTGTGTTTTTATACTGAATACAAAAATTACTAATTTTTGTTTCTCATTTTCACCAAAATTGGGTTGAAGTATTGATAAAGCTAAGGATAGTATAAGAAGAAAATATTGAAGTCATTCATTGGAATTGAACCCATATCCCTAAACTTTTCTGGCACACGAACTACCGACTAGACTCTGAGGAATACTATAATAGTTTCTGTGGTGCTGAAAATACAGGAGATGCCAAGATCACAAAATGAGATGTACTCTTCTAGTTGTGCTTGTGGAGGTCAAGTTTGGCTCTTTGATCCTGCTTGCCAACTGTCAATAAACTGGTGTACAAATTCCCGAGCCTACTGGGCTCTATCATATCTACATTTAAAACTTTGTATATCTCACTCTATTTGCACCTTTGAGATAAGAGTGTGGCAGTGCCGGTATTACTTTTTCTGACTCGCCATTTGGGAATATGTCTGAACCTCGATAGACTGAATCGAGTTCTGTAGAATATTTGTACATAATTTGTAGGCTGAATGTGGCCTGGTATTACTTGTGCCATACTCCATTATGGGACAACTATCCACATTGATGTGTATTTGCCAGATGTTGCTCTGTGCTCTTGTTTTGTCAGGTCATTTTGTAGGATATAACAGTCATCTAGGACTTGAATTCTTCCCAATAGTGTAGCATCCTTTGTAAACATGTTCACAAACTGTGTAGCCCTTAAGGTTGATCATTTATGTATACAATGAACATGCTACTAGTACCAGATCTTTTGGGGCTCCAGGATTAACATTTCTCTTGTCCGATTCATTGCGTTTTATCACTGCTCTCGGCATGCTGTCTGTTAGGAAATATTTAATTCACGTTAGTGGTCTACCCGACACACCTGTATTGCAATTCCCAGGACAGTTTCTTGAGTGGGACTGGATCAAAATGTTTACTTTAGGTCCAGATAGATGCAGGCTGCCTGACAGTCTCTTTACAGAAAGATCTCAGTGGCCATGTCGTAAAGATTGAGTAAATTTATCATGCATGATCTTCCAGTTCAAAAACTAAATTATCTGTTCCTTATCACTGTATAGTACTGTATATTGTTTACTTCCAAGATATTCCACCCATTTAGTCACTACAGGTGTCCAGTAGGTCGGAGCCATGTCCCATGGGTCAAGAATCATGTCTCATAGGTTTAGAACCTTGGCTCATAGGTCTGGAACCTTGTCCCATAGGTCTGGAACCTTGGCTCATAGGTCTGGAACCTTGTCCCATAGGTCTGGAACCTTGTCACATAGGTCTGGAACCTTGTCCCATAGGTCTGGAACCTTGTCCCATAGGTCTGGAACCTTGTCCCATAGGTCTGGAACCTTGACCCATAGGTCTGGAACCTTGTCCCATAGGTCTGGAACCATGTCACATAATTTGCAACCATGTCCCATAGCCTAGAGCCATGTCCCATAGTCTATAACCATGCTCCATAGGTCTGGAAACATATCCCATAGGTCTAGAACCATGCCCTTTAGGTCTGGAACCCTTGTGATGGTTTCCTTGCGATGATTTCGGGGCTCAACGTCCCCGCACCTGGTCCTCGACCAGACAGGTCGAGGTTCCGGGTTCGATCCCCGGCAGAGGCAGAAACAAATTGGCAGAGTTCCTTTCATCCTGATGCCCCTGTTCACCTAGCAGTAAATAGGTACCTGGGAGTTAGACAGTGGTTACGGGCTGTTTCCTGGGGATGTGTAACAAAAAGGAGGCCTGGTCGAGGACCAGGCCGTGGGCATGCTAAGTCCCAAAATCATCTCGAAGATCACTTCTGATACCATTTTCCGGGTGACTGTTGACTGGAACTCTCGTTTGCATTCATGTCAATCGCAATGACCCCTTGAACAAATTTTGTAAATTAATTAAAACAATGGGATATCCTGTAGTCTTATATTGGTATTTTCATTCATTCATTTTGTAAATTGGGACTATTTTTACCTTTTTTCTCTATATTTACAAGCATTTGTATGGATGACTAGAAAAAACTTGTGAACCACATTTCATGCACGTAAAAGAGGCATTAAGCTTAAGAGATGTTGGTAGATTGAGATGACGTTTATCTTTTTTATCCTAAATTTCAGGTGACGAGAAAACGTCTGCTGGAGATTGCTCGTCGTAATGCAGTTTATTTGATGCAGAACGGCTGTCTGCCCCCGAGCGTTGAGCAGGAACAGCTAGTCAAAATTAAGGCTGGTGGCAAGAGTGTTGACGAGCTCACAGGTTAACTAGACGTCTTTGTGTTTAAACCTTTTGGTTATCATATACCCTTAACCAGCTGAGATTTTCACTTTTCCTTACCTCCGACTCCAACCGTCTCTTACCTCCATTTCATCCCACCTTTTCCCCCCCCCTCTTCTTTCATCTCTTCCCTCCGTTGCATCCTGTCTCTTCCCTTCGTCTTCTTCCTGTCACTTCCCTGTCTTTTCCAGTCTCTTCCCTCTGCTGTTTTCCATCTCTTCCCTCCATCTCCTCCTGTCTCTTCTCCCTCTCTTCCTCTTAAATAATGAAGGTAGTTAGGTTTTGTAATTTTGTAATGGAAGGTGAGAACAAGAGAGAGATTTTCATGAATGATGCCATAGATCCCCTCCTGTATTGTCATATAACTTAGATTTTATTGGAATTGAGTGGCAATAGACCTAAGGGACCATGAGCCAGAACTTGGCCCCCCCCTCAGAGAGGAGGTGCAGGGAGCAGTGCAAGTATGATCAATTTTATGACAAATTAATCATGTCTGTCACCACCAAGGGAAGGGCACCCAGAAAGTCTGTGAAACAAAACAGACCACTACTCGGTTAGAAATAAGACTGCAACCTCAACACAGGGGAGCCGGTCGGCCGAGTGGACAGCACGCTGGACTTGTGATCCTGTGGTCCTGGGTTCGATCCCAGGCGCCGGCGAGAAACAATGGGCAGTTTCTTTCACCCTATGCCCCTGTTACCTAGCAGTAAAATAGGTACCTGGGTGTTAGTCAGCTGTCACGGGCTGCTTCCTGGGGGTGGAGGCCTGGTCGAGGACCGGGCCGCGGGGACACTAAAAAGCCCCGAAATCATCTCAAGATAACTTCATCTCAAGATAGCCAAAGGAACTCTCCCAACAACATAAACACATGATTGAAAATTTGTGAAACAATGGGATATCCTGTACCCACCTCTACCCACCTCTACCCACTTTGCCCCACCTTATTCCCCTCATTTGGCAGAAGGAAGGAGGCAGACCAGGTCAGACGGCTGCTTCACCACCAGTTCTTAACCCTTTAACTGCGCAAAACCTCATATCATGTGTGACACTGAACTCAGTTTTAACATTTTCTGGATCTCTCTCAAATGTTTTGTGAATAATCTACTAGGCAAATGCTCCAACTTTGTCTAAATGACACCAGTGTAACTTGAAAAACATGAAAATAAGAAATAATTATAAAATGGATTATTGAAAACTTCAGATTTTGAAATTAGCTGCAAAAATATAAAAAATATCACCAACTGTCCATTTGTTGTTATGCTCTCACAATAGCATATGATCTTCATTTTCATATATTTAGAATATAGGTTTTCAGTATAGTTTACTGTAAAAAAAAATTGTCAATATGGCATTTGAAATGTACGCAAATTTAGACAAAAAAAAATGTTTAACTCCAAACATTTAGAGCTTATGAAAAATCAATTCTATGGGGATAGTAAAACAGTGAGCTGTGCGCACTATATGTAAAAATGGTGAGAATCGGTCAGAAACTAGATTATTGGATACTGAAGTAAGTTGAAATGGCAATGTCGCATATTGTATCTGACAATGCTAGTTATAGGTATAATTGAAGTTGAAGTTATCGAAAATGAATAAGGCAGTTTTCATTCATGAATTTACTTGTGTGTTGTAATAAACATTGTTTGGCATTCGTACTCGAGTATGTGAAAGTTGTAGGGCAATGTGTCTAGAAATGAAGTCAAGAAAATAACTCCCCCCAAAAAACAAAATATAGGGATGATTATAATAATTATAATGATTTAGGGAATATATTTAGGGTATACTTTATATAATTAAAAAAAACTAATCTGCTCCCTAATCATCAAAACAACCTAAAGAAACAAGGAAAATAGAGTTTGAAATCTATGAAAAAATTGGCAAAAAAAAATTTCAGTCCCAAGTTCTGAGAGTTGTAACTGATTTATTTGTTGACCAATGTAATTCTGGCTTCACATAGTGAGGGACGAGTATGCACTCTCCACGATGTAAAGGGTAAAACAAATACAAATAAAAGACAAAGGAGGAAAAAAACCCTAAAAACCTAAAAAAAAATTTCCCCCCCTAAAAAAGTAATTTTGGGCATTGTTGAAAGTAACTGATAATAAGTTTGGACAATGTATTTATAAGGTATATAACAAAATAGAGCATAATAACATAATTACTCATTGTTGTTTGTGTTATTATGTATTACTCAGCAATGATATAAAGGCACCAACTGTATATCCACTTTGTGGACACTTACTACTGTTGTTCTTCTTTGTGTGCCGGACAGGTGTTTGCATCTCTCTATTACTGCATTATCCTTCAGTTCAAGTTAATAGGAGCTGTTCTCTTTATCAACAAAACGTTCTTTTTTTTTTTAAATATTCGTCTAAAATCAATTTCTGAAAATATTTTGATGAAAGTTTTACGAAGATGAAGCCAATAAGTTGGAGATTTGTTTAACATTTTTAAGTAATTTTTACATAATTTGAATATTTTTTTTAATCATACCCCCTTCAATGTCACACATCATATGACGTTTTGCGCAGTTTAAGGGTTAAACTGATGTGTACTATAAATGGTCGCCCTCTGAGTTCGCTTTGGCTCTTGTCTCCTGTCTTAGTCGAAGTCATGTTTTGCCATTGAAGTTTTTCCTGTGCACAGACCCATTCGATCTCTCTTTTTGTCCTTTCCGCTGGTGTCGGGTTTCGAGGGTGCCTATACAACTATGTAGGGGTTACTGGCGTAGCAGTCCCAGTACCTGGGCATACCTGCAGAAACACTCACTTTGTAAGTCATGGAAATTCCCTGTGGGTTCAGGGGATTTCATGTAGCTGCATGAGTGCCTCTGCTGGCCCGCTCTTGCTTTGTGTGAATTTGAGGGTTGTCCGTCGTCTGGGCCACCAAGCGTTCATTCTTTTTGCCTCCACCATGCTGCAGTGACACCTTTGACCCTGAGTTGTGTGGGACTTGCTCCCTGTACATTGCTCTCCTTACCCACTCTCCTGATGAAGTGTATCTGGCAGCAACCACTTTGTGTTTGCAATTTTTTGTGTAGCAGCGGTCTAGGTTGTGTACGCAGTTGGATGCCCCAGATTTGCCCCGCTTAGTGTTAGGGTCTCAGATTTGGGGGTGTTGGTTGACTCAATTGTGGTTCTGTGTGCACCTCTTCCTTCCCTGGTGCATGTGGTGTGCCCTTCTCTCCCCCCCCCCCTCCCCAACCCTGCTTCCAGTTCCAAAGTGTCTGAGGGGTTCGGAGTCAGAACAGAGCTTAGCTTGGGATGGGGCTTGGGTGGATCCGGGGTTTGCCCCTTCCAACTTGGGTGTGGAGGCAATTGAGTCTACTGTTCCCGCCAAGATTTATGGGCGTTTCCAACTGGTCTCCTCTTCTGAGGCCTCTTCCTTGGACTCCGCTTTTCTATCCCAAGCAGTGGGCTTGAAATAGAAAAGCTTCCATGTTGGCTTTGCTATGAGGTCCTCTTCTGCAGTTCCTGGGGCTTGGGGAGTTATCTTGAGGTTATCTTGAGATGATTTCGGGGCTTTTAGTGTCCCCGCGGCCCGGTCCTCGACCAGGCCTCCACCCCCAGGAAGCAGCCTGTGACAGCTGACTAACACCCAGGTACCTATTTTACTGCTAGGTAACAGGGGCATAGGGTGAAAGAAACTCTGCCCATTGTTTCTCGCCGGCGCCTGGGATCGAACCCAGGACCACAGGATCACAAGTCCAGTGTGCAGTCCGCTCGGCCGACCGGCGGCGAAGTCGGTGTTGGGCCCTTGGGTCCTATTTGACTTTTCATGGACTCGTGTGCCTTCTGCAGGGGGTCTTTTGTTGCTTGGTGGGGGGGGGGGCGGGTTTCTTGTATCCCCTCCCCATTTGATGTAGGTGTGGCTCCCCCTGGGGTTTGTTTCCATGTGCCTTTGAGTTCTTCGGTTTCATTCTTCCGGAGGTTTTCTCTCTCTAATCCCCCAGATGGTGGCTCTTTGTGCATACCTCCTGTGCGACCCGGATTCTACCTCGGTGTTGGACCTGGCCTCTTTTGAATTCGGTTCTTCTCTTGTTTTTGGGAGCGTTCTGAGGCCCCGGTGTCGTCCTAGCTGGCAGACTATTCTTTATTTACCCTTGGGGCTTGGTACAGTTTGTTGTTCCCGCACGTTTGATTGGCTGGAGGTGTGTCCTGTGTTGCAAATGTTGAGTCAGTTGGCTTCCATAACCCTCTGATGGGTTATGTTTGGTTGAGTCAGCTAGGAGTGAATCATGTGCTGTGTCTGGTGGCTGCTACCTTCGTGCCACCAATTCTGCTTCAATAGACTACTTGTGGGTTGATCCAGTTTTTCTGGTTCCCTGTTCCAGGCCCCTTGTGTTTCTCAGGTCGTCTGCAGTGTCATAAAGTCTACCTAGCCTGCAGTCTTCCCTCGTGCCCATGATATGCATAAATATGTAGCTCTTTCAGCAGTCTTTGCTGATATGTCTTGGGCTGATGTTCGAGCACGGGGGTTTTGGCAGTCGAACAGGGTCTTGGCAGCCAGATGTTTTGGGAATGTTGCCGGTCTTCAGTGGCCTTGTGTGGCCTTGGGTCATGTGTCGCGGCTGTTGATCTTTCCTTTGTCTTGATACCTGTATTGCTTCCTCCCCCCCCCCCCCTGGTAAATGCTATTTCTTTCTTCTCCATGCATAATTAGCTTCAGGGAGTCATATGGGGCTTCCCCCAGAAAAGCAGCGTTGAATGTAATGAAATGCCAATTTCTGGTCGATTCTCAGTGGCTCCCTGACCCCCTCCCTTCCCCAGGGCATTGGGGTGGTTTCTATCATCAAAAAAACTGGTAGTGGAGCAGCCAGCTGACCTGGTCTGCCTCCCTCCTCCTCCTCCCAAACGAGTGGGGGAGGGGGTGGGGTGAACTAACTCGCACTAATTTCACAAATTTGTATAATTTGTTTACATTGTTGAAGGGAGTTCTTTTGGCTGTTTTGAGGTCTTGTTTCTAACCAAGCAGTGATCTGTTTTGTTTCAATGACTTTTTGTTTGCCTATCCTTCGTAGTGGCAGACATAAATAAATTTACATAAAAATTTTCATATGTGCCACTGCTCCCTGGGCCTCTCTGAGGGGGCCAGGTTCTGGCTCGTGGTCCTTGGTAGGTCAAATAAGAGCTCCGCAACTGATGTAGCACATTGTAGTTGGCACATTATCAGCATAGTAGCTTAGGGAGTCACTAGGGCTTACCTAGAAATTGGCATTTCATTATTTTCAACGCTGTTTTTTTTTTGTTTTTTTTTTTTAAGATTTCTGCAAACAACTGGTGGCCAGCGGCAACTACAGTGACGTTGATCTGAGTGATCCGTCATTAAGTTCAGGTGATGACAATGAGAATATAGATAAGCCTTTTAGCACCGCACGTCACCCCTTCAGCATACGAGACGCTAAACCCATCCTCATGAATATTCGGGTATGTAGAATCACAGATAATGTTCAGTGTTTTGAAATTCAGTGAAATGTTTTATTATAGGACATAAAGCAGTCAGTTTTTTAGCAGTAAGTATTCTGTCTTCTGCAGTAAATGCAACCCTTATTAATGTCTTATTTGCATAAACAGAAAGATTAATGGAACTAGATTAAATACTGAATTTGAATAATGGCTACTTTCTCTCAATGACCATTAATAGACTGAATATCTACTGCTATGTTAGCATATCCATGATTGTTTCCGTTGTAGACGACAAGAATTTTATTTATTTACGGGGGAAGGTTTAAGACATTAAGAGGTGTTATTAATTATGGGAAGTTTTAAGATATTACAGGTCATGTTTTGATTGTGAAAAGTTACAAGAGTTGGGAAGTTTTAAGATATTACAGGTCATGTTTTGATTATGGAAAGTTACAAGAGTTGGGAAGTTTTAAGATATTACAGATTATGTTTTGATTATGGAAAGTTACAAGAGTTGGGAAGTTTTAAGATATTACAGATCATGTTTTTGATTATGGAAAGTTACAAGAGTTGGGAAGTTTTAAAATATTACAAGTTATGTCATTGATTATGGAAAGTTACAAAAGTGGGAAAGGTTTAAGATATTAGAGGTCAAGTCATTGATTATGGTAAGTTGCAAAAGTTGGGAACGTTTAAGGTGTTAGAGGTCGTGTTATTGGTTATGGAAAGTTAGAGAAATTGGAGAGGGTTAAGGTATTAGATGTTGTGTCACATGGACAACAGGAAAAAGGCACGTGGCCATGAAGGAAAATCACTTAGTACTGGTAGGTCATGTCACACGCTCAGACAGGGAAAACAATATTGCCAGGACACAGTGGGTTAACAATAGGGATATGACCATCACTGAAAAAAACTATTGTTGAATGTAACAAAATGTCTGTTTTTGAGAGATCCCTAGTGGGTCCCTGTAGCTATCTTGCTGAGATTGCTCCATACTACAAGTCACATATGCTGTGGGGGTCATTCTGGCCTACCAGGAACTAGAACTTGGCTCATCAAGGAGGCACTTAGAGGAAATGACATTCAATTATTTCACCGGAAAAGCATCCAGATAAGTCATCCACAGGTGTCGAAACTGCCAAATAACTCCCTCAAATAATTCACTCAAAAACTAGCTCAAACCCAATAGTGCTGAACACTGCCACTAGGTGACCAAAAGTTCGGTCATCCACCAGCTTGGTACTGTGTTCTGGAGCAGGTAAATATTGCCGCCAACAAACCAATGAAACTGGAAGGACGGGAGAGATCGAGAAAGGGAGACAGGGAGCCACCTGGTCTCTATCAGAAAGAGGCATTTCATTACATTTAACACCAAGCGTCTGGGTTGTTCCCTGTAGAAAATTAACCACAGAAAAATTGAAGGACTCGCCCGAGAGGAGGAGAGGCAACAAGTACTAATTTGAAGGAGAGAGACATGGCCAGGGAAACATATCCTCCCAAGACATTAGAAAATATCTCCTCGAGAGCAGCATATTTGTGAACATTATGGACCCGGGGTAGACTACAGGCTGGCTAGACTTGATAACACCGCAGACAGCGTGAGAAATATGAGTCTTGGAATAGGGGAGCAAGGAAACAGGATCAAACTACAAACCATCCACCGGAACAGAGCTGGTGGTATGGAGCAATGAACCACCACCACTGGACACAACAAATAATGTACTCCTGGTCAAATCATCCAAACAACAACAACAACGAACGGACCCCTCTGGAAGTCCTCCGATGCATTCTTCACCAAAAAAAAAAAAAAGTAAGAGATGGCTGTGAATGAAGACTCAGTCACCTGCATGCCATAAACAATGCAATAGACCTGCATCAGAAAGTCCAGACATGAAGAGGAGAAGGTTGAACCGGCTAGGTATGTTGCCGGACCAATCCACTGGAAATCACCTGCATTTAGTCACTGGGTCAGAAGAGCTGGAAAACTCCCGGATTTAGACACTGGGTCAGAAGAGCTGGAAAACTCCCAGATTTAGACACTGGGTCAGAAGAGCTGGAAAACTCCCAGATTTAGACACTGGGCCAGAAGAGCTGGAAAACTCCCAGATTTAGACACTGGGCCAGAAGAGCTGGAAAACTCCCAGATTTAGACACTGGGCCAGAAGAGCTGGAAAACTCCCAGATTTAGACACTGGGCCAGAAGAGCTGGAAAACTCCCAGATTTAGACACTGGGCCAGAAGTGCTGGAAGCTCCCGGATTTAGACACTGGGCCAGAAGTGCTGGAAGCTCTCGGATTTAGACACTGGGCAAGAAGTGCTGGAAGCTCTCGGATTTAGACACTGGGCAAGAAGTGCTGGAAGCTCTCGGATTTAGACACTGGGCAAGAAGTGCTGGAAGCTCTCGGATTTAGACACTGGGCCAGAAGTGCTGTTAATCAAAGCTTAGCTGGCCACCAAGGAATCAGAATGATCACCTTTCCTGGGAATGACTGCAGCCTGGAAAGAGCCTGGAGTAGCAACTGAACCAGGGGAGAAAGGTAAATGCACCCCTATCTTGACCAGTCCAGCTAGAAACCATACAATTTCTTAACCAGAATAGGGGTTTGTTTTGGGATGCTTACCTTTCTGGGTGCCTGACCTGGTCAATGGCCGACAGAATGCTTCCAACTACATGGGGGTTTCTGTTGTCCATTGTTCCTCGTGCCTCTATGAAGTGGCCAAATTCTGGCTCGTGGTCCCCAGTAGGCATATGAACTCCATTCATACTGATGGCAAAGTCTAATATTAGCAATATCAGCCTAGATAGCCATGGGGAGCTGATAGAGCTCCCCCCCCCCCCCCAGAAAAGAGGATAGTCAGCCAGCCAGGATGAATCTGGAAACTTAATAAAATAGTCAAAATAGTGACACTGATCTAAGCTCAGCTCAAAGAAAGTAGGAGTCATCATGGCAGTGAGACATGAATTCCACAAGTGGTACTGCAAAAGGTTCTCTCAAGCAACTGAAGGAGAAACACAAGACAGAGCAAACCTCTAGAAAGATGAATCCACGGGCCTAAATGACAAATGGAAATGAACCCTAGAGGAAGCCGCAGAAATATCTAACTCATACCTATCAGGAGGTTGAGATAACCCTTATTCTGAAAACATACGACCCTTCTCAGAAGGAAAAAAAATACCAAGAGGATTCGAAGGGCATCCAGGAGCCAAATTCGGACTCCCTTGTCACAGGAAACTGCCATGAAAACTCTGGGGAGGGCCAAGGCCATGAAATGTAGAAACGAGGGCTAAGGTCTGAAACATAGGCCATGGTGGTGATTGGTACTAGCAGGTTCGAGATAATTTCGAGAGAATTACATGTACTGTATTTAGTTTTGGTTGAATTGTTTGGAGAGTTGTTTGTCAGTTTTGAGGCTTCATGTCTTGTGAACCCAAAAGTTGTCTATAGAGTTTGCTGATTTTCTGGATGCTTTCCCAGTGAAAGGTAGAATATCATTTGTTCTCTGTGGAGTAGGAGAAGGGGTGCAGGTCAGGTTCTAGTTCTGGTTCCTGGTAGGCTAAACAAAACCGGCGCAACTGTTTGACAACTTCTATATCATTCTTCAAGAGTGTTCCTCCCTGTCCCTGCAGTCTAATTGAGGTTCTTGTGCATACCATTTCTCAGTTATGACTTTTGATGGCACTGTGGGTGGACGTCTGGCCCGCTTTGCCAGCTCTTGAACCGAGGATGCATGGTTCTTCCGGTGTTCTGGGGCCTGCATTGGAGGTGGTTCTCTGCCCTCCTTTGGTGTTGGGAGTCCAGGGCCAGCAGCCTACACTTAAGTTCTTCTTAGTCATTGCAGAGTGGTTGGATGCTTGAGAGGTTGAGTTAACTCCTGCCTTGCAGTGGGTGTCCCATTTGTTGTCAGTCCTCAAGTGGGGCTTCTTGAGGTTATCTTGAGATGATTTCGGGGCTTTTTTTTTAAGTGTTCCCGTGGCCCAGTCCTCGACCAGGCCTCCACCCCCAGGAAGCAGCTCGTGACAGCTGACTAACACCCAGGTACCTATTTTACTGCTAGGTAACAGGGGCATAGAGTGAAAGAAACTCTGCCCATTGTTTCTCGCCGGCGCTTGGGATCGAACCCAGGACCACAGGATCACAAGTCCAGCGTGCTGTCCGCTTGGCCGACCGGCTCCCCCTTGGGCTCACCAAACCTGTGGTACATTCTCGCCCCTTTTGCTGCAACTTATATTATTATATCTTCAGTGTATCATTCATATTTCAATATTTACCTTATGTATATTTCTTGTCATTTATCATGCACCGGTCTCTAATTAGAAGCATGTCCCAGGATCACCTGTCACTTGTTTGAGCAACAGCTTGGGAGCCCAAACCCTGGGTGAGTGGTGTACCCTATGGGCAGAATTTAGCTCCAGGCTCTGTACCACTTTCTTTAGGTTCATACCTAATGCTCCTGTTGTAATTGTCGGGTGTGGGCTCTGTAGGCTCATCAATAGCTTCTGGTTTACCAGTTTCTACTTTTTGCCTTTTGGGGATCTGTCCAATGGTGTCTTCCTTTCCCAGCACTCAACCTCTTCACGGACTTTGGGTTTGGGTTGTGGTTTTGTGACCAATATTCATTAGGCCACTCAAGGCTGTTGGGTGGGTTCTTTGTGTCAGGCGGACAACATGGTGCATGAGTTCACTGCAGATTGGCATGCTCCAAGGTTGCTTCAACTCTCTGCAAGCATCATTATCCAGCTCAACTGCAACTGCTTCGATCTCTACCTTTGTGGGGCTGGACACTGCGGGTAGCTTGTGTTTTGACGGTCTGTGTGGTTCATGTTTGAGACATGTCCAATGCTCTGGTGGACAGTCTCACATTTCCATCCCATTGTTACCAAGTGGACTGTCGACGATGTCTGGTGTTGGGTAGAATGATCCAGTGCTGATTTCCCCTCTTTTGGAGGTTAGAGACATCTTCTTTTCTATGCCCCTGGTGAGTTTCCCTGTGTGTGTGGTTCTCCGTGGTTACACAGCAAC